CGAGGCCGCCGCGGACGGGGCGCAGCCGCGGCGCCGGTGCGGCCGGACGGGGGCACCGGCGCCCGCCGACGGCCAGCGGCGGCCGCGGAGACCGCCGCGGGCAGCTTGGGGCGCGGGAGAGGGACGCAGGTCTTCTGTGAGGACACTCCGCCAGTGACGCCAGCAGGGGGTGGATATCGCTTTTCCATGAGGACGATAACTGACCGTACATTTCTGCTGCTTAAAATGCAACGGCATGGAAAGGTACTGACTGTGACAAAGAGGCGGGTGCCAGGGGGCGCCAGATGGTTCAGAGCCCAACGACCTGGCCTGCAGCTTACAGGCCAATGTAATGCAGCCAAGGCATTGTACTGTCGTGCGGAGTTGTGCCCCATGACCGGCGTGCGAGAGGTCCGCTGCCGCCCAGACAGGACATACCACAGCACAAAAAAGACCAGTGGATTGCATCCAACATACCGCGATAGATCCCCTTTGAACAGATGTCCAAGTCATTTAGTGGTCGATACATTGCTTGAACTCAAATAAGGTAGAATACACGCGACACAGGCACGGTAACCCACATCTAAACTCTGTGGGGAAACCCGGAGATCTGGGCATAGTATGCGGTACTGATATCGTATCCGTAATAAAACACAGTACATAACATGCCTGCAGTTACTACATGTACATATGTAACAAACGCCACACATTTCCTCAATGATACCGAGAAAGTGGCATCGCTAGATGACAAGTCAAACCCAAAAAGGAAATCTGCACTTCAAGATGTGAAAGCCAACATATCAACGGCAAGCATCCTTAATGACAGAATTAAAACAAAGTACAGCCTAGCAGTGGAAACAAATGTTATCCAAAGAATAAGCTTCAATCATGAAAGGAAGTGCCAAACTTTTAAGGCATATTTAAAAAGCATACTCAGGTGAAAATTCAGAACCCCTCACGCCTACTAAAAGCACTGGGTGGTGGTGCCACTACAGCACCATCATGCTGCAGTGGCACTGCAGCATCGTCAAGGTATAATAAGAAGATTAATTTTAATCACCTTGGTGCCCAAATTATGCTGTCAACGTTTCAAAACTAGGCCGTCGTTGTTTTGTCACAGCACTTTTCCCCTCCTGGATCCAAAGCCAAAATGCGTATCGAAAAGAGCCACCGTGCTAAATGCCACAGTGAATAAATCAAAGCCATAGCAAAGCAATTCGTTGAATTCTCGTGATAATAGATTGATGTTGGTGAAGCATCTTCCTTTAAAACTTTATAACTTTTCGTGGCATTTCGTACACAACCACACGAATAAATGCACTGCAAACATCGCAGAACACATACGTTGGAAAAAGCAATAGAAATGAAACTATTACTTTCATAGTGGAGAGCAGAGAGCCCAACGAATTTCTGCCGCGGGAGCAGCTACTTGAAATCAAAATCAGAGGTATTGGAAATGATTTAGAAAAAACTGGTTTTACCGATCAAGTCGGACCCGCCTGATCTAACAACACGTGAAAAATACAAAAAGATGGCACGCTCCCTTTGACCAAAAATGCGTAAGTGCATTCAATAATGCACAAGACTAGGCTGGGCAATCTACATTTGTTCCCTGATCGCCGAGCGCGACCTGTTATTGGTGACAGGTTATTTGGGCGGGGTTGGGGGAGGGGTCAGTTTATCCACAAGGATGCAGCAAACTTTGCTGGCAGGCAATTCAGCGCGGCACAGCAGAAGCCGCATCTTCATTTGGTCCTGGTATTAAACTTGCATACCTCATTCTTGCCCACTGCTAAACAAAGTATATTATTGCACGGCGGGGTTTCCACCGAGTGACTGTACTTGATACACTCATCCTAACGTTCTTATATGGTGACGCTGCTCTGGCATTCTATCGATGTCTGCTCCAACTGGATGTATGGAAGACAATGGCGTTGTCGCATTCATGGCCTTAATCTGCATCTTGCTCTGATTACCTGGCTAGTGAAAACTGACCCCCACGCATTGCTATCCGCATCCAGCCCCCGCCATTGTCGCCAGTTCTCCACCTGCCCCCTCATGTGTCACCCCGCCATTCTGGCATACCGATTCACCACTGCGTTCCCGATCATGTCCCATGCTTGCGTTCCTGAGATGTCGCCACGCTGCACCCACAACGCCTCTCGCCCCCCCCCCCCCCGGCCTAGCACGCCGATTGCAGTGTAGGTAACTCATGACTCCGTTCCCCGCGATGTCTCATGCGTGCGTTCCTGAGATGTCGCCAGGGCGCGCACACAGCGGTCCCCATTGTGTGGTGCCTGAAGCTGATCCACGCGACCCGTGCGGGTGTGCGTGTTGTTGACCGCCCTGTTTTTTTCGTCTCCGGTTTCTTATCTTATTGTGACGCCAAGTCACGTTGGATTCATAGCTCGCGTGAGACTAGATGTGCTGAGCTGCGTTAGCCCAGTCACTGACTATGTGAGACAGCAGCTGTGGCGCCTGAGGCTGTTCATGGCCCCCGACAACCCGGGAGAACGTCCGCTTCTGGTAATGGACAAGCCTCAGTCCACGGACGACATCCGGGAGTGGATCATGTACCTCCAAGAGCAGCGTCTGGACCATAATTGTCACACTAGACGCGATCAGGGACAGCTCCGGACACACCTCTGCACGCCTGCGCGTCCCCGTGGGTGGCGCCATCAGGTGCTCGCTTCCTCCACGACCGTCTCAAGCTCTTTCCAGTGGCGGCCCACAGGAGCTGGACGGCGTCGCTCGGTGCCCTGCCTGACCGGGGGCTCGCGCAGCTCGGCGTCTCACTCCCGCTGGCCGCTCCCGCTCCCACAGTGAACCGTTCGGGATCCTCGGGATGCCTTCAACCACCGGTCCCGCCAAAGTATGGCCCCACCCGTCGCGGCTGCAGACGCGCGAGCCACGGCGTGCGTGACGCACCGTCAGCTGCCCCGCACGGCTGCCATTAACCAGATCACGGTAACAGCCCGCCACCAACAGACAAGCCGGTGTGGACGGCCGCGACTGCGACCCCTACCGTGCCGCTCGGCGGCGGCCAGTCTGCTCCCTCCGCCCACTATCCATGGCACGCCCCGTGTGACGACTCCGGCGAGCCCGCCGCCATTCCAGGACGGTGGGTGTGGATAAGCAGCGGTCCGAAGCCTCGTGCCACCCCGGACCTGCTGGCCCAGATCGTCCAGGATCTTGGCCTCGAGGACGATGACCAGGGGATCCTGTGTTCCCCTACGTGGGCAACACCGCCTCGTCCCTGATGCGCTCGTTGGAGCGTTATCCTTTCCGACGCTTTCCGTGGCGGAATCAGACGTTCAGGTCCCGGCTGGCGATAGCAGCGGGTCGCGCCGGCGCCGACCGTGCAGTCCCCGCGTCATCGAGACCCCACTCACTATCGCCAGACGTTCAGTCTAGAGCTTGAGCCGGCGGACGGTGACCCGGTCTCGGTTCGTGGCGTCTGTTGCCACCCGTCGCTGGGCAGTCTCATGCGCCGGACCCATCCAGCCGGCCTCAGCGACAATCAGCGGAAGACACTAGAACACCAGACCCCCGAGGCAGACGGCAGTGAACCAGTCTTCGCCAAATCGACTGGACTACGCCCCGCTGAGCTTGTCCAGCTCCTAGGAGAGCAGAGTGTTGGGAGACAACCTTCAGGACCCTCGAGAGACCAGGAACCCATCAGGTCCAGGCTCGTCGGGGCGGATATTCTCACCCCACCCAGATTTTTCGACGTGAATGACCGCGTGACTCCACTGGTTGAAGGCCCAGCTCCTTCCCTCATCGCACCCGACGACCGCCTCCCCATCGATACCGCTCCGAACCCGCTACCAGACTGGGAAGTCACTTTAGGCGGCCTGACCCCGGGGACTTCCTGCCACAGCCCTCCTGGCCACTGCCATGACCCTGAGCCAGTCCTCCGCACTGCGGGGCGTATCCGCGCCAAAGTTTTATAGCTGTGGGCAATTGCACGGCTAATATTTGTATATACTCGGATGTAGCTTGCATGGTTTTTAGCCTGTGGCAAGTCGAAGTCATCTATACGTTGAAGTTTGGCTGTCCTAATAGCTCAGATGGTTAGAGTGCCTGACTTATGATCAAGCCAGGTACAAGTCACTTTAGATGCTCACTGTTTGAAACGGCTTGTGACCGGTGGCAGCTAAAGGCCAGGTGAGGTCAGAGAGCAGGACGGACTGTGCCAAGCATTACAACATGCTAAACTTTCATCACAATGTTCTGCTGTTAACTTGTAACTGTGTGATCAGGTGGTAGAGATCAGGGCTCACACAAGCACTGCTTAGCATGCAGTCTGATCCCCAAAATCCATCCATTCAGAAGGGTTTGGATAATGTATGCAATGGATAATGTAAGTAAATAATATAATGGTCATGAACACCTAGGAATTTGTCCAATATGATGAGACAAGAGTGTTAGCTGAAGTCATACAACTTTGAGATGGTTTCTGATACAATAAGACAAACACAATTAGGAGCACAATATATCCCATTGACCTTGCATCAGGTATGAAGGTCACATCACAGCCATAATGAAAACCTATTTTTTACTTGTCAACTTGCTTTATAGGTGACCTTGAATGCTTCTTTCAAATTTATGGAGCACAAAAACAAAAAATCACTCATTTTGACTAAATAACATTCAGGGGAGGTAATTGACCTAAATGACCCTGATCAAGCACTTGCATGTATAAGTATGCCACGTAAGGTAGTACTTGGTACACCTTGCACATCAAAATAAAAAAATCCTGATAGTTTCATACCATTTTTACCTTCAAAGATCAAATAATATTGATCCCCTGACATGAGTAGTGGGGACTTTGTTACAGCATATGTACTATATCAAAACTGTTTATGTGGGAAAGCCTGGGGAACTTCAAACACCCATCAGTAGTTTGAACTTGTTTGATATTATTTGAACAGGTCACAACTTAGTAATAAAAGTTTGACACCATGTGTTCACTTATAGATCTACCTACCCTATAAATATCAAGTCTCCAGCTCTCTTATTTTCAAAATATCATGGGATAGGTAAAATCCCCCAGCTGAATGTGTCATGTTCAACTGGCCGCCCGGGAATTTGTTAACAAGGAAAGACAGGTTTCGGAAGCGTAATGCTATGCTTAGGTGTAGTTTGAAAATATACCAAACCTTTAAAAATGTCAGAACTTTAAAGTCAGGTACCTTTGGCCTCCTCTTATGACAACCAGCACTCTTCTTTGTCCACCCCTCTAGCTAAAACATGGGTGAATTGGTTGTTGTCAAGCTGGGATGTTATGCCTAACACAAAATAATCAGGAGTGGGAGTGGGTCTGGCACAATCAATGCAAAAGCAAGAGCAGTGGGTAGGAAAATAGCTAAAAATGTGAAGCATAATCTATGGGCAGCCCATATAGCCATCAGTGATACCTGTAACAGTGATACCTATCAACCTTGCAAGGTGTGCCAAAGCATACACCTTGCCTGCTGTCTAAATGAGTAATACATAATGCAGATGAACTCATCCATTCCAGCCACCAAATTATGCCAGATATTAAGTATCACATCATGGGGAGTGATTCTGACTTGCACCCAGCAATTTAAGAGCTCTTCAAAACCACAGGGACACTGGTATTTAGAGCACCCATGCGTCCACATTAAGGCACATGCTAAAAATATTAAACACTGAGATCATCCGGACACCCAAATCCATGGCACGCTCCACTGGGTGCCAAAGCTTATGTTGACGTGGCAGCGTACTGTGTACAAGCCACCTATGCATCACAGTCCAATGCACGAATAAAACAAACAAGGCACTGCCTTTTGAACAGTTTATAGCGCATTTAGACGCTTGCAAAAAGGCCGCCTACCTTCTTCTGTCAGCCGCCTGTCTCCAAGCCCATCCAACCACAGCAGGGACGTCCCAATAACCCGCCGACCAGCACTTCTGCTGCCGGTCGGGCCACGCTCGCCAATCAGCATGCGGTGTGGACGTGGACGGAGGTCGTCGACGCCGCGACAATCGCCGCGAGGCTGGGAAGGTTGTTGACACTGGAGATTGTGAGCCGGTAGAAGCGCTGTACTGGGTAGAAGCGGTCAGCAAGCGGTAGAGCCCCGAGGCTCCGCGGTGTCCACGAAGGTGGCGTTCTGGGGTCAAGCTACGCTTGCGAGTTAACCATTACTTTATTACAACCAGACGCCCCTTGAAAATCATGGGTGTCAACGAGTTTGCTGTTGGTCTCATCGGATGCACAGTCGAGGTGTTTAAGCGCCGGATATCGCATCACGTAACCCCGTATCCCTCCCTCATCCCGTATCCCTCCACCTGGTCTCCATCCCCGTATCGCTCCAACATCCCTCCCGTTTAAATATCCTGATTGCACCCGGGTCACTTCATTTCTACGCGCCGAAATGAGACGGACCTGATCTTGCAATTCGAATTCACTCAGTTTCAAATATGTAGTAAAGACGACTGTGTCGGGGCAAAGGGTCAGCCTGCCAGGTACAGCTGCCCTTCACGGCACGCGCGAGCAATCACGAGGATCAGAACCATTCCACTCTTCTCGGGTAGCAAGTGACCACAACCTTCCTTCATCCTTTCGAACACCGATTCGGTCACTGCTCGCATGTTCACGGGTATAAGAAAGCGCTGCTCTCGCCCGGCCTCGATGGAAGTCACATGCCTTGGTCACTCTCCGGTGGCCCGGTTGACACCGTTGGTCGCAATCGTCTGGCCCGATGGTATCCACACAGCGCGACTCACCGCAACTATGCGGGATGGGGCGAAAGGATACGGTCTGGGTGCTCGTTATCGTTTTTCATGGCATGCTGCCCCGGTGCCGCAGGCCAAGTCGGTCAGATCAGTCTCACCACAAAACCTTGGCGAGTTGCGTCGCCGAAAATGTCGTCCACCCCACGAAATACGGACAACTTAAGCATCCAACGTTCAGACGTCTATGGGAGAGTCCCTATCCAAATCGGACATTATCGTTGCATGTTGTGGCCCTAGCAATATTGCCGAGCCACATGTCCTAGTGTAGCCCGATGTCCCATTCTCATAAACAACGTCATGCTATTCATATGCGTATTAATCCATTTATTAATCCAGCTTCCACAGATGCACTTCAATCCATGCAAATGTCACAACACGAACAACAGCAGTCTTTTCCGGCACTTGCCGCCCCACGCCAGCGCTCAATAACTAGACACCTGCCCAGTTGACGTACAACACCGCTGACCTACAATGTCAGAATGCGGTCAGCCTCGCACCGCCTCCAGCCGGCCGGCCAAGGGCGCTCCGCTCCGCCCACTCCGGTACAGCGCGGAAGGCGCTGGCGACGTGGGGCGACAGCGGACTGGGCAGGCCAGCCAGCGACCCCCACTGGGTCAGCAGGCGGGTCGGTCGCTGACCTCGCCGGGCCAGGGGCAGGCCAGTCAGCGACCCCACTGAGTCAGCGGGCGGGTCTGCCGCTGACCTCGCCAGGCCAAGGGCGGGTCGGTCACTGACCCAGCTGGGTCAGCAGGCGGGTCGCCTCGGCCGCCGACGCCTGGATGTCATGGCCCGCGTCTGCGCGGGCTGCTTCCAGTGCCGGCGTCAGACGCACGCTCAGGGCGCCGACCGGCGCCAACACTGGGAAGTTGAGCTTCTCCTTCAGGTCACGGAGGGCGCTGAGCACAGCCTGAGTCACAGCCAATGCTTCCCGACGCAAGCTTGGATACTTCGGCATCTCTGGAAAGTGTCGGGCGGACATGTGCAACGAGGAAGCAAAGCAGACTTCGTGAGCAGTGCCGTGTGGAATGTACAGTGGTAGCACAGTACCAGCTACCCTCAAATTGATCCAATTTTTCTGACATCTAGAATAGCGAGATGCTTATCCAAATAATGAAGATGTTCGCCGCACTGACAGCTCCACCAGGGCCGAATGGTGAGCCAGCCCGGCGCCATCGCTCTCGCCATCAGCACCAGCTGTGCGGGCGGATGTAGCGCGGGCGCGGCCGGCGCCTCCGCCTCCGGCCTCCGCCTCCGCCTGCACTCACCCAGCGCAAGCGCCAAAATCACGCCCAGCTGGTTGACGGCCTCCGTCAGCCGCGGCTGGTCCCGCTCCACCGACGGCTCGTGCAACAGCCACAGTCGTGACGTCACCGGCCGCAGCGACGTCACGATCGCCAGCTGGTGGGCACGCGTGGAGCGCGGCATGGCCGCGGCCAGCGCGCCCACGTACCGCTCCCAGTGCGTCTCTGTGGAGCGGCAGCGAACAGCGTGCAGCAAGCCGGGGGGGGGGGGGGGGCAGCTGGCAACCAGAGGCACACTCGTGTGTTACCGCGTTAATATGCACTGGCTGGGCAACGTTTATGAGGACAGCCACGTTGGACACATGAATGACAGCATATTTTTATATCCGTTCCTGCGAACCTATTTCGCCGGCTCCCAACCCAGCATCGGGCACGATGGATGCGACGGCATCGCTTGATAATCTTATAGCAATATCATGCATCGATACGTAACACCACGTCTTTGAACACCCACAGCACACCAACACGTGCGTGTCACCTAGTACCACCCGCGTAGCGAGCACCATGCTCCTAGTTCACACGCGCCCCCGACGTAACATTACAGCAGCGGCAGGCAGCCCGGCCGTGTCCAGCGCGAGCCCTGGACCGGCCAGCCGGTGCCGGCCCGGCGGCTGGCGCCTACCCTGCGTGTGCCGCGCAGCGGGCCAGGCGCGGCCGAGCGCCGTGTAGGCGGCCTCCTGCAGGCGGAGCCGCGCCGCGCTGTCAGCCGGCTCCTCGTCACCGCCGCTGCCGCTGGGCCGCGGCGAGCCCGCCTGCGATCCCTGCCGGGGCGGGGACGGGGCGTCACACAGGGCGAGACGGGACGTCACACCGGGGTGGGACGGGGCGTCACACAGGGGCGGGACGGGACGTTACACCGGGGTGGGACGGGGTGTCACACCGGGGTGGGATGGGGCGTCACACTGGGGCGGGGACGGAGCGTCACATCGGGGTGGGACGGGGCGTCACACCCCGCTGGACTGTCGCCAGCGGCGGAAGACGTGGCAACGGGACTCTGGTGCACTCGGACTCACTGACTTCTGATTTAAAGCGACGCACCAGCCGTCAGGCAAACGCCACTGCTCCGGTTGGCCTCTGCCCTGACCTCATAGCGACCAAGTCCACAGCCCCTCAGCGACCAGAGCACACTCAAGCGCCTTCGACGGACGCCGCCACCAGCAGAGTCCACTGACCTCGACGTACGGCGCTGCCAGCTCCCAGAGTTGCCCGAACCGGTCCAGGCTGAGGTCGCGCAGCACACGGCCGGCCGCCGCCAGCGCGTGCGCCTTGTAGTCGGGCCGCTCGCGGGCGGCCTCGCGCAGCACGGCGTCGGCCAACGGCTCGGGCTGTGCCACGCCGGCCGCGCAGTTCTGGCACACGTCGGCCAGCGCGCCCAGCAGCGCCTGCTTGCCGTCCCAGGTGCGGCTAGGCAGGCCGGCCAGCAGCGCGTCCAGCACGGCCAGCAGTTGATCGGCGGGCAGGCCGGCCGAGAGGCGGGCGGCCGCTGCGCCCAGCGCTGCCGCCGCCTGCGCCTTGAACGGCCACGACTGGCCGGCCAGCGCGGCGCGACACAGCGCCACGATCTCTGCCAGGTAGAGGCGCAGCCCGCCCTCGGTGCCGGGCGCCAGCTCCTCCCACACCTCCTCCCACTGGGCCACCTCCGACTCGGTCTCTGCGCGACCGGCGGCAGGGGTCAGACCCGCCGCGTAGTATCGTGCCGATGACATGTTTTTATTAGTCGTCGCGTCGACGACTAATAAAAACATGATGAAAACAAAAAAGCAAGCATGATGGCATGAAGAACCAGGCCAATACAAGCACGCTAGATATTAGGTGGATGGAACGCGCCCACGCGGCACCGACGTTAGTTACCACAGTGTGGTGGTCGATGGCTCAAACACTTGCACATTTGTACGGCACATGACGTTCGACGTTTGCCTAGCACGCTGGCTTGTTTCGGCTCTAGTGCCAAACCCCATCTTTCGCCCTGCCGTTTCTCTGCTGCCGATGGGCGACGCGTCAGCTGCCGGGCCGTTCTCACCGGGCGTCTTCTCGCGGTGCATGGCGAAGAAAGCGAGGCTGGCGGCGTCGGCGGCGTGCTCTTTCAGCTGGCTGGGGCTGTGCTGGCTGAGTGACTGCAGCGCCGCCGCGCACACCGGCCTCAGCGTCTCGTCTGCGGCGGCCGGCGGCCCGGGTCAGCGGACACCGACACTGGACACAGGACACAGGACACAGGACACCGACACAGGACACAGGACACATGACGCAGGACACAAGACACAGTAAACAGGCACGGACACGCACACTGGACACGGGACCCAGGACCCAGGACGCAGGACACAAGACACAGGAAACAGGCACGGACACGGACACTGGACACCGGACACAGGACACAGGACACAGGACGCAGGGCACAAGACACAGTAAACAGGCACGGACACGGACACTGGACACGGGACCCAGGACCCAGGACGCAGGACACAAGACACAGGAAACAGGCACGGACACGGACACTGGACACCGGACACAGGACACAGGACGCAGGACGCAGGACACAAGACACAGGAAACAGGCACGGACATGGACACAAGGCACGGGACGCGGCACAGGCGAGCGGTCAGTCTGTTCACCTCGCGGGCGGCGCCGCTTCACCGGTGCAGGCGACCAGCCGCTGGTCACTTCACACACTGTACCGCGCACCTCTCCTGGTACCAGTGAACACCGGGCCAGCACGGCCCCAGCGACACACGACCCACGTGACCATCCTCCGCCTGCCAGGGCCACCACCTCGCCCTCGCCAGCGCGCGACACCCACCTTCCCCGTCCATGTACCAGGCGCGCAGTTTGGTGATCAGCTTCTCCACGGAGGAGGTGCGGGCGGCGCGGCAGACGTTGCCGCAGGCGGCGGCGCAGCAGCGACGCACCGTCACGTTACGGTCTTGCATGCCGTGTACCAGCGCCGACAGCACCTTGCCTGGCGACGGAGATCGCGTCACGTGGGGGGGGGGGGGGGGGGGGGCTCAGTACGTGCAGGACCCAGCGGCGCTGGGCCAATCGAGCCGCCGGTATGTCCAGCTGGTGGAGGCGTGGCGCATGGTGTGGCCGAGCGTTATGCCCTCCCAAAGAGTCAGAGGAAGACGCGGCACTGGCAAAAAACGAACCAGTGGGTTTATCTGCCTACAATGTTGAGACCCACACCAGTGGGCCCATGTTACGACCATAAGCACAGAAAATAAGCAGGAGTGTCGCGGTTTTCAGTCCCACATAAGCCGCACGATCCGGTAGCACGCGACGATTCCACCCCCGGGCGGCTGCGGCGGCCCCGGGAGCCCGCTGACTTTCCCGCTGCCCCGCCGCCGCTCACCGGCCGTCTGCTGGAGCACGAGCGGCCGCTCCGTGGCGAGTCGAGCGGCGAACAGCGCCACGCCGCACTTGGTGCCGAGGCCGGTGTTGCGCTTCATCAGCTCCGAGAGACGCGGCACGATCTCGGCCGCCTCCGCCGCGTCCACGTACTGGATGCACTGCCGCGCCGAGAGTCCGATCTCGGTCACCGAGCTCGCGTTCACCTCGTGCTCGGCCAGTTTCGACACAGGGCGGTGTGTGTAAAACGTGCGACGACAATCGATAACGGTCTAAATAATCGGAAAACTTTCGCCTAAATCACAAATTTCTCAAAAAGTTTGCCTTTAAGCTTTACAACACAGGGTGATGTGGAAACCGGCAGGCGGGAGGAAGCAACATGACACCTGAGTGCGAAGGTGCCACACCGTACGACCAACGGTGTTTCTTAGCCACGGTCTTTTCATTGTTATCCTGCGGGTATGTTCCAAATTCACATTTGTCACGCGGCTTCCTCGACACACACAAGCGAATTCATCGCCATTTGATCCCGACCCTATAATGACGGTTGGGTATGAGCGCTGCCACCCCGCCAGCGGTGACCTCCTGCCAGCCCGGACCGTCTCCCACCACCCGTCCGCCGGCGGGCTGGAGCGTCGGCAGCGTCGGCGCGTACCTGCGTCAGCGTCCTGAACATGGCCGAGTCTTTGGTGATGCCGAGTCGGCCGCGGTCGATCACCTCCTGGGTGTCCGCCTGCTGGCCGAACGCCACGCTGACCTGGCGCACGGCGCTGGACTCGAGCGTCGAGAGCGCCTCCAGCAGGGCGGGCACCAGCAGGCGCAGGTGGGGACGCAGCTGCGGCCCGGCCGTCCGCGCCAGCTTCATCACCGTCGACAGGCTGCAGGCGGCGGCACGCGGCGTCACGGCAAACACACATGCGAGACAGGACGATGTGGATGGTGGGCGGGGCCCGGGTGTATGTCAGACACGAGCCGTGAGGGATAGGTGGAAGAGAGCCCCAGGCATGTCCGAAGCATGGCCTTATTTTTTGCATGCGAGACACGGACCGATGATGGGCGGACACGACCCAGCTACAGCCAAAACGCCGGGGGGGGGGGGGGGATTGGGAGCAGTGTCGAACGCTTCAGGCTAAAAAAAGTACATACAGGAGGGTTTGTGGGGAGCGGGAAGAAATCGAGGCCGACCACCGACGGCGATCTGCTTTCCTCGCTACACAACCGGAGGCAGTCGCGCAGCTGTTGACCATCAGTCTACATCGTCTGTCTTACGAGACCAGACAGGACCGACACCAGACAGGCCGACGCAGTCGGGTGTCGACCCTCAGTGAAATCTGTCATGGACCGGCGCAGGCCAGTGCGACAGTCGTGGGGCTGGCGCGGAGCCAGCCCGGGGCCGGCGCGAAACCAGTCTGGGGGCCGGCACGGAGCCAGTCTGGGGGCCGGCACGGAGCCAGTCTGGGGGCCGGCACGGAGCCAGTCTGGGGGCCAGCGCGGAGCCAGTCTGGGGCCGGCGCGGGGCCGGTGCGAGCGTGACCGACCTGACGCTGCGGACCTCAGACACGGTAGAGGCGAGGCCCGTCTCTAGCAGCGCCGGCAGCACCAGCGCCATGGCGCGCTGGCTCAGCTTCGGTGCGTCCTGCTGCTCGCACAGCCGCACGCTCACCTGGCCACGTGGCGAGATACAGGCGAAGGATCAGCGACAGGGGCGGGCGGCGCGGGGACTCGGCGACTGCGGCCGCACAGTCATGGCTCACACGCGGCTGGATTAAAGCACCCTTTCGTCGATTGAAAAATCACTGATCATCGCCAGGCATCACCTGACTCATCAGCATTACTACGCCATCCATGGACGTTTTACACAATCGGAAGGTTAAAGCAGCCATTTTTCAGGGAGCTTTATTACGTATTTCCTTAAACATGAACAAAATACACGGACATTGCCCCATTCAAACCAAGCTTGAGGAGAAGCACCATCAAAGAGCCACGCCACACCCCTCCACACCCCGCGCCCCGCGCACCACCCCACTAACCCACACACTGGCCCCGCCCACCTCCGCTGTCCACCGGGCGTCTACTGACCCTGCTGAGCACCTCCAGCGTCTTATGGGCGGCCAGCCGGACCGACTCCTTGATGTCGTCGCGCACGCGGAACAGCGTGCTCCACATCTCGGGCAGCCGGTGCAGCACCGGCTCCAAGGCGCTGCCGCCGCCGCCGCACAGCAGCTCGGCCAGCGCGGCGCAGCACGACTCGCGCACGCGCCACAGATTGTCCGTCAGGCGGGCCAGCACCTGCGGCGCGCGGCGTCAGCGGCGGGACAGGGGCGTCAGCAGTGTGCGTGGCGGGCGGAGGGGAATCAGAGGCAGCTGAGGAGTCGAACAGAGGGGAGTCAGAGGCAGCTGGTGAGTCGAACAGAGGGGAGTCAGAGGCAGCTGGCGAGTCGAGCAGAGGCTGCTATCAACCGACGATGGCACGTCGTTGTTTGACGGCGGACAGCACGCTGACTCATGGTGAGAAACACGCCAGCAGGATCGGGTCCGGCAGGGGTCGGGTGCGCGCGGCACTGATCCCAACGTCTGCAGCGATCCTAACCCATCCCAGGTACGCTGTCAGTACTACGCCACCACACGCGGACGCCACGCCAGCATCAAGCCGCGCGCGACTGGCAGCGCCAGCTGTGCGACTCAGCCCGGCCGTACCTCGTCCATGATCTGCGGCAGGTACTGTTGCATCGTCTTGCTCGTGTCGGGCACGATGGAGGCCCAGATGGCGCGCATCGTCTGCTGCACCTGCGGCTTCGGGTCGAACTGGTACCTGTCGGGAGAGCGGCGGCGGTGTAGACATCTGGAACGCTGCGACAATGCTGCCGATCTGAATCACCCGCTCCGAGCTAGCCAGCTGATATAATGCCTCACATCGGGCAGCAACCGCAAATTCAATGCACATTTTAATCGGTGGGAACTGATCTGTGCGCACTGATCAGATTAGTGCACACACCAGATCAGATCAGATCAGTGCGCACTGATCAGTGCGCATCCGCTGAAAATGTCATTTTGGGCAGATCAAGTCGATTTATCCTGCGATGAATGTTTATGGCATGACGTGAGTAGTGTATCACCATCACAGAGTCATTTTGCCCCTAATCTGGCCGAATGCACGAGGGCGCTCCTCGCGGGCACCTTTGCCAAAACGCTGCGCTTCTCGGAACCCATCGATCCAGTGAGCACGCGGTGCTATCCTCGCGGGCTACCTGCCCCATGGCCGAGTCGGGCATGGCATCTACCAGCCATACGACCTTCAGCCCACAACACAACACCCTCAAAAGCAAACCGAAGCCCTCAAGCTTCGCATACCCGTTGTGTAAACGTCCAGCCAAAAAGGCCCACGACGACTGGCGCCCCAGCGTGGACGCCCCACATTCCGTGCTGACACGCTTTGCGCCGGCGCCGTGGCCCCGTTCGCCGCCGCCACTGACCGGTACAGCTTGGGCACGATGTTGCCCAGGTGGGGCGTCAGCGCCTCGCCAGCCCGAGACGCGATCGTCGAGAAGCCGAAGGCGGCGCCGCGCCGCGAATTCCAGGCGGCGTTGTGGTTCACCAGCGTCATGAACTTGTATATGAGGTCGGGCTGGTTGAGGTCCGACGCCAGCGAGCACAGCTCCTTGTACGTGGAGAGCTGGCCGCTGCCAATGAGGTGACGTCAGAGGACTCCTCAAATGACGGCGATCGGGCTGACGACGGGTAGCGGGTGATGTCACTACTGCAAGTTCTAGGCTCATGCGGGCCGCCGCGGTACACTGGTGAGACCCCCACATCACCCTAGCACCTATCAGGGCAGCCAGCGCTCATAATGTTCGCAAACTATCACTTGGATTGACTAAAGCGTAACTATTAAAGCTGAATTTTGCATTATTGACTAAAATGCGACGTCCACAAAACTGGTTGAAGATCCCAGCCAGCAGGGTTTCGCTGCGATCCACCCCGCCTGGCGCACACCTGACCGCAGGCGGCGGCGCCGCCGCCGCCGCCGCCGCCGCCGCCGCCGCCGCCGCCCCCCCCCCCCCCCCCCGGCCGTGCCTCGACTCACCCGGACGGGTCCTTGCCCAGCTCGCCCTGCCCGAAGAGGCGCGTGTCGCCGGTGACCTTCTGCGTGCTGGGCCGGCCGGCGGTGCCGGTCAGCGCGCCCACCAGGCCGTCCACCAGCAGCGCGCGCTGCCGCTCGTCGCCAGAGTCGTACACCAGCGCCAGTCCCTTAGAGGCCGCCTCCTGTACCAGGTCTGGGGGCGGGCGGCGGCGTGAGAGCCCGCCCGACAGCAGTGGACTGACGGCAGCGGGATGGGCGAGCCCGCCGAGACGGACTACCGTGGGCGCCGCCATGCCAAGCCGTCGAACGAGCTCTGAGTACACTCCACAGTACACACACACACAGAGAGGTATGTCCGAGTTATCGTCGACCACGCTGCGTCGAGCACAGCCGACTGAAGCTGGAGCGAGGATGGTTCCGCGTGAGCCAGGGGAACAGCCGCGTGGTGCCGATGCCAGAGTAAGCCGGCCCAGCGCGCGCCAGCCGCCGCCCGTACCGTTGCCCGAAGCCAGCAGCTCCATGAAGGCGTTCTGGATGACGGCCAGGTTGTCCCTGAGCGGCTGCTGGCGCTGGCAGTGTTTGACCAGCGCCAGCAGCCAGACGCCGGCCGACTGGCGCACCCTCGGGTGGGTCTGCCGGACAGTACGGCGGCCGGTCAGCCACGCGCACACAGACACCGTCCGAGCCGCTCGCACTGTGGCGGCGTCCGCTTCTCGCGTACTGCACCACCATCGCTGACTGGGAGATGCACCGCAAACGCTATACGGCGTGATCAGCACATGACTGCGCTCCCGTACCACCCAAACACTTGCGGCATCCCCTTATACCATTCCGAGTTGCACAAGGTAAGTAAGTTCAAAGACAAAAGCAATGTAAACCACCCATGTGCCTGCTACAGAACAGCAGTCCAGCTTCGTGTCCTATGGGATGCTTCGCCACTACACTACCCAAGCCACCGCGCCCACCAGCGTACCGGCACGGTGCCGGTGCCGGTGCCGAGCGAGATCCTCACCTGGGTCAGCTGGTTCTCCAACAGCTGTCGCAGCAGCCAGGTGAGCAGCTCGTCTGGCTGATAGGACTGGGCGGCGGGCGGCGGCGCGGCGCCGTCGTCGGCCGCCGCCAGCCACGGGTCGCGCGCCTCGGCTGACAGAGGGCCCAGCACGGCACACACCATCGCCTCGCCCACGGCCATCTGCAGCTCCAGCTCGTCCAGCTGCCGGGCGCAGACCGACAGGCTGACGCGTTGCCAACAGACTGGCTGCTGGCAGCAAACCGAACTTACCGCCGGGTGTGATAACAGCCGCTGCCCGGCGCGACGCGCCAGCGATTAGGGCTGTTTTGTATGCGATAGAAGCATGGGTTGGCAACTGTACGTAACCAACACACGAACTGCGGTACCAACCACACCAGCTGTTGTACGAAAACAGGCACAAACGCTGCTTACTTCGTGTCCCCAGCTCGCCCTCGCACGCCTCCAGAGGTGCGTCCCACTGGGCACACGCTCGGCGGCGGGCCAGCGGCGCCGGCGCCCGCTGCCGCCGGCCCTCACCTCACTGGAGACGGAGAGGAAGTGCTGCACGATGTCGCGCCGGAAGGCCAGCGTCGGGTCACCAACGCACACCCCGCCGCACGCCACGATGGCCCGCTCGCGCGTCTGCCGGCAGCGGCCAGGCGTCACGCCAGCGGCCGGCACGGCAGCCACGACACACAGCGGGCACTGGCCGGCAAGGCAGCCACGACATACAGCGAGCACTGGCCGGCACGGCAGCCCACAGCGGGCACTGGCCGGCACGGCAGCCACGACACACAGCGGGCACTGGCCGGCACGGCAGCCACGACACACAGCGGGCACTGGCCGGCACGGCAGCCCACAGCGGGCACTGGCCGGCACGGCAGCCACGACACACAGCGGGCACTGGCCGGCACGGCAGCCCACAGCGGGCACTGGCCGGCACGGCAGCCACGACACACAGCGGGCACTGGCCGGCACGGCAGCCACGACACACAGCGGGCACTGGCCGGCACGGCAGCCACGACACATAACGGGCACTGGCCGGCACGGCAGCCACGACACACAGCGGGCACTGGCCGGCACGGCAGCCACGACACACAGCGGGCACTGGCCGGCACGGCAGCCACGACACACAGCGGGCACTGGCCGGCACGGCAGCCACGACACACAGCGGGCACTGGCCGGCACGGCAGCCACGACATACAGCGGGCGCTGTCAGGCTGAACTACCAACACAAAGTGACGCACTTGTATGCCACCGCATCGGTGATGTGTGGAAAGAATTCGGCACAAAGCGTAATGTTGAAGTCAGGTGCTACGAAGGGGCGTCGAATCAGCCCTGTTCCATCTCCCAACTCGCGACAACACGCTGTCGTTTGCCGAAACCATGTCGCAGCGCGATGGACTGGTACAGATGCATGAATACCGGTGAAAATGAGGATCTTATCCAAAACCAGCTGGCCGCACCAGCGTGCGGGACGTCCACCGCCTCGTCCCCACCTTTGAAGCGAGCTCCTTGTTGGTGGCCGTCTTCAGGAGGCGCGTGATGACGTAGTGTCGGGAGGGCGGCGCCTTCTGGTCGGCCGGGCCAGCGCGCACCGGCAGCGGTCCCGTCCGGCCCATCTCGGCCAGCGCCTCCAGACAGGCGGCCAGCAGCAGCGGCTGCGCCGAGTCCAGGTACGCCACTGCGGCGGCGAGGCGGACGGGTCACCGGCGGCCGGTCGGGCAGGGGGCGGCGGTCGGCGGCGCGTCCATACCACCCCAGAGCCCCGTCAAAGGTCCCTGCTACCCGCCGGACCTACACCTGCGTCGCCGGGCTCAGTTCCATGCGTTGTAACAACGCGCCAAAGTCACCGTAGGCGCTAACTTGCCATTGCGATGCACATGATCGTGTCCACCATCAGCAAACGGCGTGATTGAAACACAGGCCGTCGCGCCGGCCGGCTACAGCAGCAGCGGAGCCGGCGCCCCCGCCCAGCGCGTGCGGCAAAGGCGGCCTCCGTCTCGACCGCGCACGGCGGCGCGCCACTTACGCATGTCGGCCATCAGCTGGATGACGCCGTCGTCATCGCGCCCGGGCGGCCGGCCGGCCCGGGCGCGCCGCGACAGGCAGTGTCCCAGCGCCAGCAGGCCGCCGTGCTGCTCCTCCGGCACCTGTGGCCGCGGTCGCGCGATTACGCGGCGGCAGACACGCCACGCCGGCGCGCACGCGCCACCAGATGGGTCACACACAGACGTTTACATATCAAAATCATGAGTACCGTATCATGTTATAACGTCCAATCAATCCACACAAGCATAAAGCATCGACCGAAAAACTTCCTGCGAGCGCAACACAAGACAACAAAGAAACAAAAACACCACCGGCAATCGTCCCAGTCAGGCTGTAACCCTCCCCCAGGCCCGCCGCCGTCATACCTTGCTGACGGCCAGCTGATGCATGTGTCGGAGGGCGTCAGCGAACGGCTGGTCGTCCAGGCTGGCGGCGGCCACCACGCCGTACAGCTCGGCGGCGTACAAGCGAACGGGCTCGCGTGGGTACGAGACCAGCGTCTGCCGGCACGTGACGGCGTGGGTCGCACCGGCCGCGCACCGACAGCCGGGTACGGGCAGCCCAGGTCAGGCCCGGCGCAGCGCACGTTCTCGTGACCTAGGCTGGCGCCGGTGAGACACTTCCAGCCCGCGCGCTGGTGGCAGTTTGGTCTTATCGAAATATTTACTTACAGCTGGGTGCAAACGAGCAAGCGGGGCTACGTACCAATGGGAAGAAAAATGCGGGGATGAAGTCCAAACGTAGTAGGGAAATAACTTTCATGATAACGGCCAGGAGAACAGTATGATGTTGACACAACTACTAGGTTTGCCGTACAATTATATGACATTGCTTTCGAACACGTCTCAGAAAGCTTTCATCCATCCCGGCATATTCTAAAGCACTAAGGGCGCAGCACTCAAGCACTCAAGCACATCGTCTCCTTACACCCCGCACAAATTTCACCTCAAGACCTCAGCCGTTTGGCAAAACAAAAACAACAACACACGACGGAGCCATCCGCAGGGCGAACGCACTCGTTTTCATCGCGCAGCCTCGTCCCCCACCGTTCAAATGTCTGCCATCGCTCCCGGCCGGCACCCGAGCCACTCGATCCCACCCACAGGCCGGCGAGATGCGTCCCGCCTCGGTAGCCGTCGGCAGCCGGTCCACAACGCTGGCCGTCGCCGCCGGCAGCAGCGCCGCCGGCTGTACCTTGAGCCAGTCAAGCTTGTCGGCCAGCTGGGGGGCCAGCCGGCCGGGCGCGGCCGCCACCGTCTCCAGCAGACAGAAGAGCGGCGCGTCGGTGACGCTGGCGCGCAGCAGGCGCGTCGCCAGCCGCAGGTACGCCTGCACCGGGCCGGAGAGCGGCGGCGCCTGCAGCGCCACCGACAGGCCGGCGGCGCGGCCGCGCGCCAGCTCCAGCGTCACCGGCCCGGCCGGCGACGCCTGGTGTTGCAGGCACAGGCTCAGGTAGCGGATCATCTGCGGTGGAGACGCAGCGAGGAGTGCGGGGTACTCGCTGGTCGACACGAACGCATGGACGCCAACTCAGCCTCCCATCCAAGGCGAACATTCGATGCCGTGCAGCACGCTGCGCGTTATTTTGAAGGAGGCATTTTTCATACCACAAGTGACACCTCCGAACATTCACATTCTGCCTTCACAATTCGATTGCGTTGGTTATGCCTAGCCTGTGCCTTCCTCAAAGAACACGCACAATCACAACGCCACTCTCCCACAGGACGCCTCCGACGTTCCAAACAAAGCCAGAATCAGCATGACGAGACTAGCCTGACCCCGACCCACCCTACAGCGCAGCTACGTCAGAGGCCACTCTCCGTCCTCACCATCGCGAAGGCTTTCGGAGGAAACGGTAAGGTGCTGTTGCCTAAGGTTGTCACCAGCTTCTTGGCTTCCCGCTCGCCAGCCTTCTTGGTCACGCAGTTGACCATCTCCGCGAAGTCTGGGAACTCACGGGCCTTCGAGCTATCCTGCACATCCTTCTCCAGAATTTTGAGATGTTTCAGCGCTTCTGCGGCAACCTCTTCCTTGCTGTCAGTGAAAAAGAAACAGGCACCTTTGTGAAGCCCAGACAAATAACGATGCAATTCACAATGACGCGTCATAATAAGTGGCGACTTGGCACACCCAGTCTGACAAACATCCATAGCACCCCCATCGGCTACCCGGCACCCCTATATACATCCCTGTCTCCAATAAGGCCACGTTCACTAGCTCAACCCAGCCCCCTCCACTCTCACCCCACCCGAAGTGCCTAGTCAGCTCCTGCCTTGCAATCCCTGGTACTTCTTTTCTCTCCAATCACATAGAGCAGAACTGTTTTCTGGTTTCCTAGAAGCTTCGCAACTGGGAAACCAGAGGTGCGGGGATCGATTCCCCGCGTTGCCCGCCCTTGCTGCCAGGCTGACAGGTAGGAGACATAACAGCTGAGCACGTCGCAAAGCCCCAATGACACTTATAATACATATACACACCATAACACCTAAGTTGATACAAGCAGTGCCCCACCCACTCTAGCGGCATGAGCCCCGGCCTCTGCCGGTCTCGCTCCTGCACGCCCCCCGTCAGCACCTGTCGGCGGTGGCCAGCAGCAGCTGCAGTCGGGAGCCGGCGTGCCGCTCGGGGAACACCACCGCCCAGTACTGCACGGCCACCTGGCGGACGCGCACGCTCTCGCGCTCCAGACACGAGGTCAGCAGCGCCTCCATCACCGTCTGCTGCGCCTCGTCCAGCTGGCGCAGCGACGGCGCCAGCAGCTGCAGCGTGTCTTGCACGAACTGGCCCGTCTCTGACTCCTCCTGCGGCGGCGGGCGGGCACTGTCAGCGGTGAGGAGACGGCGGACGGTGACGGCGCGCAAAAGACAGGATTAGAGCCGCCCGGCAGCAGGGCCGGCGGCGGCGGCGGCGGTGCAGGGCTCTGACATGCCGGACCGCCAGTTCGGCGCGCGCCCCACCTGCTCGATGGCGTCGAAGAAGACCTTGATGACGCTAAGGTCGCGCGTGATGACGGCCGGCAGCTTCTGGCCGAGCTGGCCGACAGCGGTGTAGGCAGCCGAGCGGAGCCGGGCGTCGGTGCGCTCCTCCACCAGCACGCTGTGCAGTACGCCCAGGATCATGGCGCCCAGCTGCGACAGCCGCGCCTCCGTCGAGCTGTGGAGAGGGACGAGGCGCAGTTGAGGAGCGTCACTAATATAACTACGGCAATGCCACACTCTAATACGCGGAACAATGAAACCCAGGCGTCCAAACCGCTACAACTGATACGTACTGGAGGTGAAGCACTCTATTTGCAAACGCTGTAGTGGAGGTAACTCACTGTTGAATTATTTGATTGGTGAGCTGCAGAGCCAGCAGCTTCAACTTGGGATTGGTGTTGGTGCCGTAGAAGCTGTCAAACATCACCTGTGGAATACCGAAATATTCGCTACTATCCTAAACGGAACCATAGCTTTAGAGCAAAGGCATCGCCATGAATCACACATGTTACTACAGAGTGCGACACGATAAAGCACCGACACCTTTCACGTAAAATCCACGACGTTCTGGACGCTACGACAGCCTACTCTAGACAGCCAACCTCTCACCACCACCCGCTTCCTATACAGCACGACCGCCGGCCGGGACCCGACGAGCGGCGCTGGCCGCCGCTCCCCGTCCAGGGACGGCCGGCCTTACCTGGACCGACTGCGGGAACATGGTGGCGGCCGTGCGGGAGCGGGTCAGGTACGGCAGCAGCTTGAGGCGTATGCGCGTGCTGACCGGCTGGCGGCGCAGCTCCTGCTTGGGCGCCTGGCTCGGCTTGTCCTTGGGCACCAGCGTGCCCAGGTAGATGTCGCACAGCTTGGCGATCAGCGCCGGCTCTTCCCAGTCCAGGTCACTGCACGCGCCCCGGCACCGGTACAGACACGGCTGGGCCAGCTCACCGCACATGGCGTGCGGAGACACATCAACTGATAAGGTATGTCAAACATTCTCACCTGGCTCAAGATGCTGTACTGTACAAAAACTACTCAAACTTTTCACATTTTCACAAAGACCTCGCTATGCCCGGTTTCTGCACAGGACTGACACACACGCACGCGCACGCACACGCACACGCACACCACACACACACACACACACACACACACAAACACACAAACACACAACACACAACACACACACACACACACACACACACACACACACACACACACACACACACACACACACACACACACACACCATATGCACTATATACATATATTATATATATATATATATTATATATTATATATATATATATATATATATATATATAATATGGCTGGCTCTGGAGACATTCCCTGGTTGGTTCAGCGCCGGCTCACCTGAGCCGCTTGAGCTCCATATCGGCTAGGTTGGCGACGGTGAAGCGGGTGTCGGCCATGGCGACCAGCAGATGGGGAGCCACACGCGCCGCCGGCAGCAGGCCCTGCGCCAGGAAGCGCACCAGGCCGGCCTTGAGCCGCTCCAGTCGGTCGGCCGGAGGCGGCTGCGGGCCCAGCGCGCGCCGCACGGCCCGCTCCGAGAGGCCCGGCGGCGGCAGCGGCGGCGCCGGCTCCTGGCCACCGCCAGCGGCGGCGGGGGGCGGCGGCGGCGGCCGGCGGTGGCCACGTCACCCTGCCGACGGCACACCGGTCAGACAGCTGGCCCGGCCGCATCATCCCAATGGGGGTCCGCACGGCAGGATGAGGCACGCAAGACCTGTGGCATGGTGCGTACGCCCGCGGTCATCATGCAACAACTGAAACGGGGTCAAATCGATCCCCATCGTCAGGAACTCTTAGTACTGCATACCATATTGAGAGAACGTCTCAAAAAGTGCATTATTATGCTCTGTGGCACAACGAACTGGGATCAAAACTCAGTTCGTGTTTACGCTTTCAGCACAGCTGCGCTGGAAGTTTAGCCCCATTTTGACCTCCCCAGAAGACAGTGACTGTCAACAGACCCACTCACTCGGCGGGCCGCGGCCTCACATACCCGTAAGGCAGCAGCAGCAAGTCCAGCATGAAGTCCAGCAGCAGATCGAGCACGGCCGGCTTTTCCCTGAGGGCGGCGATGTCGGCGCGCGCTCGCTCGCCGCTAAAGTCTGCCGTGCCCAGCACGTCCGCCACCAGGGACAGCAGCCTGCGGGTGGGGAGGGGGTCACCAAAGCAGCCACGAGCACCACCGTGCCCAGCAGGCACGCCACCAGGAGCAGCAGCCTGCGGACGGGGGGGAGATCACCGGAGCGGCCACGGGCACCACCGTGCCCAGCAGGCACGCCACCAGTGACAGCAGCCTGCGGGCGGGAGGGGGTCACCGGAGCAGTCACGGGCACCACCGTGCCCAGCAGGCACGCCACCAGGGACAGCAGCCTGCGGGCAGGGAGGGGGTCACCGGAGCGGCCACGGGCACCACCGTGCCCAGCAGGCACGCCACCAGGGACAGCAGCCTGCGGGCAGGGAGGGGGTCACCGGAGCGGCCACGGGCACCACCGTGCCCAGCAGGCACGCCACCAGGGACAGCAGCCTGCGGGCGGGGGAGGGGGTCACCGGAGCAGTCACGGGCACCACCGTGCCCAGCAGGCACGCCACCAGGGACAGCAGCCTGCGGGCGGGGGAGGGGGTCACCGGAGCAGTCACGGGCACCACCGTGCCCAGCAGGCCACGCCACCAGGGACAGCAAGCCCTGCGGGCGGGGGAGGGGGGTCACCAAAGCGGCCACGATCACCACCGTGCCCCATCACGTCCGCCACCAGGGACAGAGCCTGCGGTGGTGAAGGGGGTCACAAAGAAGCCAGAGCACCACCTTGCCAGCACGTCCGCCACCATGGACAGCAGCCTGCGGCGGGGGAGGGGGTCACCAAAGCGGCCACGAGCCACACCGTGCCCAGCAGGCAACGCCACAATGGTAACGGCAGCCTGCGGGCGGGGAGAAGGGCATCGGAGCGGCGAGGAAGGCCGTTACGGAGGTCAACCAAAAAACCGCCCGCCCGTGCAAACCATTCTTGGGGATGTCATAAAAGTTGGTTCCAGGCCCACGTGGTCGTACAAACTTTACAACACTCGTCGACCGGGGGTTTTTTGCCTCATCTTCACCGGGCACCGGAGAGATCATAGGAACCTCTCCACTACGTAAATACTACAACATAAATACCGAATCCCAGATATACTACAGCCAAGAAGAGGACAGTGTTGCATAGCTGGCGGATACCTTACACAGGTCAGTGTCATGTAACATTGGTGAAAGTGAGCCGCCATAGCTTCCACTTCAATGGGGGTAAAATTGTGAATTTGGGCCTGCTTTATACATTCCAAACTAGGTATGCTCCAATAGCAAATGTACCTGACACTATGAATCTTATAGCCAACAGCTGGGTGTAACATCAAAAACATCAAATGATGTCACGCAGGTCAAGCCTTTTGTGCATAGGTTGCCTCAGGTTATGTCACATACTAATCGTGCCTGTTGTACTCACAAGCACTCAAACACTTGTAATCAAGCACTCACGGGTCTTGATGAGACTGTGGGCTGTCCTCCAGACTAATGAGCATTGAGATCGCCAGCTCCGCCTGCTTGGCCAGGTCCAGTCGAGGGAAGCCCATCTTCAGGTAAATCACTGTAAAATTCTGCAAACAAATGTGCGGAGCAACATCACTGTTTGTGAGACGACATCATAAACACAGTGTGTGATACAGTGATACATTAACACAGTGCAAGGAACAAGCATAACGTGAAACAAAAATGGACTAACCCCAAGTCAAAAAGTGACGCCACCCTGTTGCCATACATGTCATGCATCTGTATCACACAAGATGCACATCGGCACAAAACATCAGTCAGTGACTGCCTCTGGGCACCTTGAGGAAGCTGGTGGCAGCAGGGTCCTGGTACTGCAACAGCAGTGTGTCCACGGGTAGCTTGACGGCCGGACGGCTCTTCAGCCGTTTGTTCACGTGAACCAGCAGCTCCATCACCTGATGAACACAGGCCAACGCATGCATGTCGGCTTCGTCACAGCCGACGGGAGACAGGCTCGAAATGGTCGCAACAGGAGGCGGACGTTTTCTTCTGCCAATATGCAATGCGCCAACTGAATGCAGGCCCACAAGTGTTTGTAGAAAAGTTGGAAATGATGAAATCCAGCATGCCCGCAGTTAAAACAAGTTTGAGATCATATCAAGATCAAGATAAACAAGAAATATGAATGATTTCAGACAAATCACACATTCCAAATTCAATATATAGCTGAAATATACCAATGCTGGAACATACATAAAACAATGTGCACACTGGATGATTTTTCTGATGACACTGGAAGACATTCCAAATTCAGTATGTAGCTGAAATCTATCAATGCTGGAACATACATAAAGCAATGCACAAACTGGATGATTGCGGTCAATTCTAGCTGCCTGGCTATGCTGATTTGTGTTTATCATCCCAAGCGCTGAGCTACAGGAGCTCAAGGCATTTCAATTGACGTGCCATTCCAAGCTAGTACAAATTTAACTTCTCACAATGCTGGTGAAAGCAAGGTGTGGCCTGAAAACTCAGTCACAGTGGTTGGCCACTATTCCGTGGTCACACAAGCAGTGTTCACAGTTAATACAAAATCCAATGAGACAATGCAGACCATGGAACAAACCTTTTTCCTAACTCCTTCCTGTGTGCTGGACAGTTTGAGCAGTACTGGTGGCAGGAACTTTGAAAGAGCATTTTCCAGTTGCTCATCACTTTCGGCTGATCCAATGCGCAGGAACACCCGCTCCACCAGAGCTGAAAGCGATAATCATACTTCACTAAAATCCTGTTGTCATATACACAATGTCTCAAAAAGCTGACCACTTAGCACGTTTTCATTTCCCCAGAAGTTTTGAGCCATTGTGATATGGCTGAAGGCTGCATTGAAGGTGGGGGATTCAGGAAGGCATCACCACCACGAACGGAATCAGCGTGCGGAAATCGCGCTTGTCTGCTATGCTAGCATTGTACACAAGGTTTTCAACAGTGACAGATCTGGCTGTCGACAGGTGTTATGGAGTCCTAAATGCCTTCTACATCACACCTCCAAAAAACACCTGACGACTGACCGAAAGTTCACAGGTCGAAACGCTGTGCAAATACTAAGATGCCAGACAGTGATGATAGTCCATACAATTGTTGCACATGTGCTATTAATGCATCCAATTCTTCCAGAAAACTACCAGAGATAACTACTTTTGCCCAGGTTTACATACAAAATGAAGACAATTGTGTACCTCTTGTACTCATACATGACTACCTTACATACACGTTTTGTGCATCATGGGTGTTGGAGCAGTAAATTTCCTGCTAGGTTCAGGGCTAAAGATTTTCCTAGCATTGTAGTGCACCATTTTTGTGATATGTGTAAACACAGCTTAAATAATAAATAAATGGTGAAAAAGGTTGAATATTCCTCTGGACTGTTGAGAAATACTCAATAAGCCCACAATTCAAAATGAAGAATTATGAATTGTTCCCTGATCATGTTGTGCCATGACAAAATGGCAAAGTGCAGAATTTGCTGAAACCTTAATAGACTTGCCCCCAAAATCATAGGCAAATTGTGTGCTTCAGATTTGAAGGTGTCTGTACTTTTGTACCCAAACAAAAAAGTAAATGTCCCAGCCTGGAATGTGGTTCAAATTGTTTTTTATTGGCACATTTCTGACATTATTAAAAACCTCAATGACTCAGTTATACAACCTAGTCAGCAGATGTTCAACATGTTGCATTAATTCCTATGGAGCACCATGTACAGCTGTAATAAAAGATATGAATGAAGTGTGCTTTGCTAGGATTTTTGTCTGAGCTGTTTTAAGCTGAAAATGCAAACTGTCTTTTTAGCTACATCACTTGCTCAAATAACAGCTTGAGCAGATTGCTTGGATGACTATGGGTTCCACACACCACAGAAAGAGCTTGTCGCATGCACCCTTACTAGTGATTTTGTCTCTAGTGTTTCCTCCAAAAAGAATCCCCTGGGATTCTCCATCCTGTGCAATACTGTGACATGCCAGCCAAAGCTAGCCCTTCCCAGCTTGGCCCCTTGCAGACTGGCCATTCATGTCAGTTCAGCCTAAAATAAGCCTATTCTGGTTGTTGTGCCCAGTACAACCAGTGTCTTAGTGTCCAGTACAATACCTTTCCCCTAGATCAGAAGCAGCTACAGATAGGGGTTAACAGAAGGTCTGATTGAGCAGCTGATTTTTGCCACTCCAACTCACATTCCCAATGAAAAATTCCTAGAAATAATTGAATCCTAAAAAAACAGTTTGCTGATTTCAAAATGGGGTGAATGGGCATGCACAATCAACCGGGCAATCAACCACCTGCAGCAGGTTCAGCTGTTGCATCCTAAACCACCAACAAAGCCATGTGCAGTATGTTTTGTCACCATGATTTGATGCATGTAAAATTCATTTTTAATTTGAGCCACCCTGTGCATCACTGAGACAAAACATCACCTATACTTATTGTTCCAGCAGTCTCATCACAAACCAGCACAAAGAGTTGTGGCAAATATCTTGATACCAGTGATGAGCATCATGGGCATCCTTGCTGAAGATTAGGCATCATTATAGGTAGCAAGCCTTTTACATCTTCCAAAAGGTACCTCCTGATATTTCTCTTTTTGATGTGGCATTTAATTTTTTAGAAAACAACTTTTTATTGACAACAATGTTGAAACATTTCAACGATTGTTTTCCAAAAATGGCAACACCAACTGTGTCACCTGTTCTTTATAATGCTGCATAACAGAATTGCTCCTATGAATTTTCCCACCTAATTTTCATGCCATAAGCCAACTGGAATTACAAATGAGGGGAGACTACGTAATGCGCAGTGTCCTAAATATACTGTAAATGCATTGCCCACCCCTGGAGCTCAATGTGATGCTGCCTGCCTACCTATCATAGAGTGGGAAGGTTCAAGTGACTTAAACACTCATCATTTGCCCCTTGCTGAGAAGGTGTGGGAGTGGTGGCCACACTGCAAAAAATATACCTGATGCCAAGTTTGTCTAATGTAGCAATAGCAGCCTGCATTGAGTGGAGCAAATCTGAGAATGGCACATGGTAACCAGGAATTTCAGGAAAAATGAAGTCACTGCTTCAGGGAATTATGATGTGCTAAGGCTATTTCATGCAGGAGCCTTGCCCAAAGATTTCTCCATGAGAAATGGCTAAACAATTCAGCACAATTTAGTCATCAGGGCTTTATGATGCACTCAGCTGCTGAGGCTATATGGCAGCACAATTTAGTCTAGCCTCAGTTTGATACATGCATACTTAAGGCTCAGTAAAGCATAGCCACATAGGCATTTCAGTGCAGTGGATGGAGTCTGCATCTCAGTCAATGGCAGTAGCCACACAAGGTCAGGTGGTCAGCGGACTGTGCCGAGCAATAATGTGCATGAAATGCTTGGCAATTAAATTCTACTCAACTGGAAATCCATGATTGTACGGTGTTGTGGTGGTGACACCGTTTATAAAACAATGCCCAGCATGGGCTCTGATCCCAGAAAACCTGCCCACTTGATGCATTTGGACTTAGTTCATGTGTGAATAATAAGTAACAATCACATTTTCCACTTGCTAGACACAAAACCATGTTGCATAGCCATCTAAGACTGGGTCACTCAGATGAGTGAGTAAAACTATGGATGCAAAATGAGCGAAACAATGCATGACCTGGAAATCTTGCAGTGAACTGCATGTGATACACAACGTCCCAAGCCGCGCCAGTACTGTCTCTGACCGTCAACGACGAATTTCACAATAACCTACTCATAAAAGTGGTTCACCAGCTTCCTATCATTGCACAAAAGGGGTCTCCAAGACTTTCCTACCCATTTGTCGCACACATTCATGCCAGGTAAATAAGCAAATGCATTACCTAGCTCATCCTGAGTGCCCGGCGGAGGCGCCATGATTGCCGAGTATTCAGCATAACAGAGAATGACTAAAACAGTGAGCGAAGATATCCCTATACATAAGGGAGAAAACCTTGGTAGCTAAGAAAAACTTAGCTGTCTAACAAGATTATGGAAATAGAAACCCCACAAATGAATTTTTAGATATTTAATAAACTAAATGCCGTAGTTTTGCTATATTGTGTAAATTATTGCAGGGCTGAAGAATGCTAGCTGCAAGGGAATTCCTCAAAACGAATGCTATTCCTCTCTCGATGTCTACAAAAGATACCAAATTCTGTGCACGTCGGATCTGCGTCATTTCTGTATTTTGTACACTATTTCTGGTTTGATTTAGGGGCAGTGACGTCCGTGTGATAGGGTTTGGCTTTGGACGCATTTGGTGGTAAATGAACGTATAAGGGTGGGAGAGGCCGTTGCTGTTGCCATCGCTGTCAACCGCAGCTATTCCACCTAGGTATGTCTGTGTAGGTAGATACGGTGGATTTCAAGTGGATGTTACCGGCCTAGAATGTTGTCGTCACGCCAGCATAGCTTACAGTACAGATTACATGCTGGTGCAACCGCCAGAAATGAACTTATTTGTGCTCATCACGTTTAAATGACACCAGTTTGGTAGGTTCGTTTTCATGTGTGATGTAGGATTAGAATGTGAGTGAGCAGCTGATAGTAATGTCTCAGCTTTCTTCAAGTAGTTCATCTCCTCTAAGAAGCAATCTCTGATGTCAGACTGAGGGCAAAAATCATATCAGATCTCAGTATGGATGTTTTTGTGAAACTTGAGGGTGCAGGCCAGTGTGCAACAAGTCCATCCACCATGCCAGACTGCTATGTGATTGAGCTGTGCTACACATTAGTCATATGTGTGAAACACAGGCCAGGCTAAATTTCTCTGAATTTCAACTTGTATAGGAAAAAATGTTTGTAGAATATATTTGTGTGGCATCATCATTGTGACATAATTCCTGGAAACTTTGGTGTCATGCACTGAAGATGATGACCACGCACAGATGGTATGCTTGCACTGAAATTTTTACTGGGATGTTACTGTTACAGAAGACTTATTCACTTGGGCTTGTTTGGTTTTGGTTGCAGTCATGGCTATAGCAGGTAGTTACTTACCTGGTCTTGCTGGCACCCTGAGTCCATCATTATTTTTAATGAGCTTCAATTTGGGGTAGTTCAACAGCTTCTCACCTATAGCCCTCATGTAAATATAGCTCTTACACATTTATCCCAAGTACTCACAGGCCAGTCTTCAGATGATCAATCTGTTAGTTTGGATAGCTTCATTACACTGATGCACTGAACCTGTTACATGTATTTAGCAATCTCAGCTGAGTGAATTGTGCTAAATTGTGCTAAATTTTGGGGTAGATATTGTTTGTGAAATTTTTCAGAGATGCAATTAAAAGCATGATTTCAATATTCTAAGTCTTTGAAGCATTTCCTTTACATGCTGCAATTCATGCTGAACTGGGGACCATGTGCTCCACTTATGATGTGTAGTTTATAGAATGCACACACTGAAATTGTGGCTGTGATTTTCCTGCTATGTTGAACATGTTTGGCATACTGTGCATGTTGTAGTGTGGCTCACAAGTTCATCATAAAAGACTTGGGCATATTAGCTTGCCTCCAATTTCTTTTCAACAGGACGGGATGGTGAACCGAAATTGTGTAGCCTGATCATCTAGCCTGCAATGGCTCTGGAGGGTTGGAGTTTGTTTCAAGTAGCAGGATTTTAAGGCACTTATTTGCATGCAACATCTCCTTCAATCAAGGGCATGCTTGATCTGAGGCAAGCATTCTATGAGCAACTGAATAGCATGCTCTGAGAAGTGAAATTGGGCAGTCATGAGGGATTCTCAGTTGCAGGAAAGGTGTTAGCTCCTTAAGCATTGTGTTAATAACACTGTTAACAGGTGTAGCCCAGGGCTAGCACTTGTTCAAGGAAAAATAATTTGTACATAAACAGGAGGGCTCTGCATGTGAAGAAAAAGGACTCATTGTGGAGGACTCTATGCTTGATCAAAAGATGTAGTTGATTATGCTAAGTTCATGGGGCATTGAAGTGATTTCAGAATTCTCACAAGAAGCTTTTGTAGTGAGTTAAAAAATGCATTGCTGAATATATGAAATCTGACAAAAGGCAAAAAGTGTGTCAGTACACTAACTTGCTATTAAAAACTAACACAGGCATCAATATCTGCATGATCAAGATGCAGTGATTAGGAGCAATGACTTTGAAAAGGCCGGCATCCCAAACACATTCTTCAGTGATGTTAATACTGAAGAGGATGCTTCAGTTGTCCCAGAATCATCTTGGCTGCATGACAGACCTGGGTAAGACAATGTAGAAATTTTGAATGCATTGGTGCTGGAAAAGCTAAGAACACTGAAAGCATCCAGTTTCTGTGGGCCTGATGGACTTTACCCTAGCATACCATATGATACCATATGATACCATAGGATACCATATGAGGCAGCTGAAACAGTCTACTTTCCACTGGCTGCTCTGTTCCTAAAGCCCCTAGAGTGTGGCAGCTTACCTGAGAGTGGAAACTGGCCTCAGGGTTTGGTCCTGGGGGCCACTCCAGTGCCTGTCCAAAGAAGGGAGATAAACAGTCACCCATAAATTATTGACTCATCAGTGTGATTGCAATACCTTGCAAGATCCTGGAGTCCATCATCAGGGGCCATTGATGACTTACTTAAACTCAGTCTGGGCAGCTACCAGCACCAGCATGGATCGCTCTGAGAGGTCGTGCAGCAGTCAGCTACTGGAAGTCTTTGAGGATTGCAGTAGAATGACCAAGCAAAACCAATTGGTGCATTATAGGTGGATTTTCACAAGGCTTTCTTTTCTGTTCCTGCACAAATGCCTTAGCAAACCAATGGTGTGTCCGGCGAATGGCTCCAGTGGATTGGAGCTTTTCTGACTGACTGGCAACCAAGGCTTGATATCAGGGAGGCTCACTCCAAAATGGCCCTGTCATCAGTGGCACCCCTCAGAGTTCAGTCTTGGGGCCACGCCTGTTCATCATTTGCATAAACGACGTGCCTGATGTGGTGACCTCCTCACTCAAAATATTTGCAGGGTGACACCAAATTATACAGCAGTCTAGTTTCAGCTGGCGAAATTAAAGAGCTCCATCGAGACCTTCGCACTATCATCCAGTGGTCTGACAGATGGCGGCTCCCATTTAACAAATCAAGTTGTAAAGCTCTGCACATTGGGTTCACGAATCCGGAGCACACATATAATATGCGGGGTTCATATCTTGAAGCAACACTGGTCGAGAGAGACTTGGGCGTCACCTGGGCCCTTACCTAAAATTTCGGAAACAGGCAGCCTCCGCAGTCTCAAAGTCCACCCAGCTGCTGTCGTATTGTGTAGATCCCTCTAGAACGGTCGATGCACAAACGTTACCTTTGTTGTGCAAGGCCCTCGTGAAACTCCACTGATAGCACGGTAACATCATGTGGGGGCTAATTAACGGGACCAAAAGCCTGTTGGAACAGATGCGACGGTGTGGACTAAAATTATGTCAAATACCATGGAAAACCGTATTTACAACGACTCCGGCATTGGGAGCTACCTTCGCTGTATTACCGAAGACATCGTGGAGAAGTGGCAGCCATGTACCAGCTCCTCCACTCAGGGATATAGTTGAATCCTGTTCGTTTCTCAATCGGCGCTGGCGACTACTCGAGGCCAACCGCTGCAAGCGCTCCAAACCGCGAGCATCATTCAGAGTTCGCAAATATGTCCACCGTATACGCGCCATCAGCGGCTGGAACAGTCTTCCCTCGGAGGTAGTTCTGCCTGCGTCCCTGAACCTCTTCAGGTCCTGGCTCGATCATCACTGGGCCACGAAATGTACCATATCCCAATCGAAGACCAGGTCTAGTCAGAAACCACATGAGCTTGGCGATAACGTGCCCTACAGGTCTTTGTCTGTCTGAATCCTGATAAGTGTATGGTTAGGGTTTGGTGCAAGTGCACTGTAGATTTAGGAGGGTGGGATTACTTGTTGCTTGTCACCTTTCTGTGCCAGATTTGTGCTACTGCTTAAATCATGACAGTTACTCGAATGATTCTGCACACAGTGTAATGGGTTCATTGTTGGAGTCCACAATCAAGGAAATCCATGTCATGCCAAGGAAATCCATGCAAGTTACATGTGCTTCACTGTGAGTTGCATGTTCAAAACCAACATATTGTCACCTAGTGGCCATGTTTCAAACTGACAACTTTCTCTGGCAAGTAATCAATCACTGGTGGTGCTGTGATTGGTAGGTTCAAAGTGACATATATTGGGCAATTCCTAGAATGTACCTAGTTCTGAAAATTAAAATACATTAAGCTGTGAGTTGCCCCAGACACTGCTGTTCGCGTATAACCTTGCATTTCATGCATTGTGGCTCTGAACATCATGTCAAGTGTAATGAAAAGAATTCATACATCTTTCCTCACAAACACAGTATGATGCAGTTAAAATGCTAGTGCATCTAGTGATGTCGAAATTTCCTTGTTAGTAGGCATATTTTGCTTCCCCTCTTTTTACCATGCTTTCTTGTTTCCACAGACACTGATCTAGGAGGGATTCAAGGGGACCATGGCAGCATCATTGGATCCACATGACAGGTCAAGGTAACGAGCCTATCGAGGTTGGCATATTCCATGTTCTTTCAGTAATCCTGTATTCTGCCCTTGAGTGTGCCTCATATTGTTTCAGTGGCACATGGTCACATTGTCCTGATTGGACCTGCCTTCACCTTACAAACTGTACTGCTCCACAGGCTGATGTGTCCCATCGATCTGCCTGCGGTCGTTGACCCAGACGTTTCCAGGTGTTTCCATGTTTGAATTAGTGCTTTGGGTAGATGTTGGGTCAGGATGCCTCTGCTGCTGTTGAAATGATGCTGTCCGTGCTTCAGCTGGTACTTCGGCCAGATGTCACGTCAGGATGCCACTGACCTGCTGATGTCGGAGCGTGAGGGCGGCGTATTTCTGGTGCGAGACTCCACCAGTATCCAGGGCGACTATGTACTGTGTGTCAGGGAGGACAACAAGGTGTCCCACTACATCATCAACAAGATACAGAGAGATGGCCAGGTGCGGGTATTGCCTGAAACTTGTGACTGAAGTGTATGTACTGCTCATCAAATTTTCTTAATGGCAACACTGCCTCCCCCCCCCCCCCCTTATTCAATGTGTTGCATTTTCGTATATCGTTGTAATATTCTCATTTACTCGAGTATAATTAGCATACCTTTCACTTAATTGTGTTGACATCATGCAGTACACTCCGAGTGACATCACTGAAGTACATCATAGGCATGTATGTAGTGCACATTATCTCAAGTTTAAGTGGTCATCCATTGTCTATCACCATGCTTTTTACTTGCAGGCATGCTATGCTTGCAATGTCTTGCAAAGCTGTTTTCTATCACATCCTATGATGAGCATCACATTCAGCTGCTCCCTCAAACAGGCATTTTGTCCACAGTGGCTCCACCTGGCCATGATTTCATGACCTGGACTATTCCACAGACTATGTTCCGGATCGGAGACCAGCAGTTTCCCCCGACCTGTCCAGCCTCTTGACCTTCTATAAGAGTCACTATCTGGACACCACACCCCTGGTTCGGCCAGCGCCAAAGAGGATAGAAAAGGTCGTGGCCAAGTACGACTTCGAAGGCAGGGTAGGTCACGTCTCATACCAAGACCGGCAGTCGCGTAAACTTTGGTGGCTCATGGCGGGAAATGGGCGCCAAATGTCATCCATGTTGCAGCCTGGTACAAGCTTCAATTTGCCAATGGTGTACCACGCTAAATGGCGCCATTCTGGGCAAGTTTATTGAGTGCTCTACTGCTCAGTTTATGTTAATTATTTTTTTTTTTCTCTCGGAAACACCAGTTCGTTCGTGGTAAACGTCGTCCAAAGCTTTACCCCACCCTTTCAAATAATTATTTTTACAGTATTTCATGGCTATTGTCATGTCAGAGGCAGACGTCCCGTGATCGAGGAAAAACGGACTTGGGCTGATATCATGTCAGTTAGCCGTGGCGGTGTTGCCGAGATTGCGTGTTGGCATGTATGTGTTCGCCGCGGGCAGCTACGTCACTGCGTGGTCTGTCGGACCGCTTACAATGCGCCTGCTCCGTCAGGACGCTGAGGACCTTCCGTTTAAGAAGGGTGAGGTGCTGACGGTGGTGACTAAGGACGAGGAGCAGTGGTGGACGGCGCGCAACAGTTTGGGACAGACCGGCGCCATCCCGGTGCCCTATGTGCAGAAGGTACGGTGCTTGGCCTGTGTGCCGGATACGTCCCTGGTGTAGCGCAGCGTTTCTGCGGAGCTCAGATGCGGCTGTTTGGCCACCACTTCCCAGCTACCTGCACACCCTCTGCATTGTGAATTGCATGCTGGTATTGCGTAGATTGTGAGTGATCATTCAAGACAAGTGTTTTTGGCCCCCGGCATGGCACGCCACGTGCTATTCGTTTCGTGATAGCCAGTCGCAAACACTATGCGTGGTTGCATAGTATTATAGTCGATGTGGATGTGGATTATTGTAGTGGATGTGGATGCCTGAGTTTCAATTTTTTTTTACCCTGAGCAGTTTATGCAAACGGCGGCTCATCACAGAATAACCCTCATGGATAGTTGAAGCATGGTTTGCGAACTTGGGTCTTCAGGTACGTTGTGTACAGACGTCCGGTTCTGCGGGCTTGGATATCGATCCTGCATTGAATATAGATACAGTGCATGCAAGTTTTATTAGGGGCTTCCGGTGACGCGGCACATTCTGTGTGTCCGTGAATTGTACTATTCTTGCTCCGGGCATTACTCGTATACAGTAGGCGGATTATGAGTGGGATTTTCTTCTTGTTTTCCACACCTTAACTGTGGTATTTATTTTTCTATCGTGGCCTCGTTTCCTCTACCAAGACAGCCTTTGATGCCGGTAGGATGAATATTCTCACACAGAGACAACTGCATACGTTATGCACGGGGAGCATATGTTTTTCTATTTCTATTTTCGGCGCCGTTTCGCAGTAGCTTAAGCCACTGTCTCGCAGAACAACCCGCGTGAGCACGCGTATATACAGTACATGTGTCGTCAGTCTGGGCCTATCGGGAACTCCCTGAGCCTGGTGGACAGGACTACTCCTATGACGGGCAGTGATCCTCAGGGTAGGAGGACACCAGCCGGAGAGCCTGTTTAAAAGCAGGCCACCGTGTCCGCAAAACCCGCTCCCGGGGCCGGTGGCTGGCGCGGCGGTCGGTGCCGCGGCGGGGCAATGCCTCCTCATTGGCTGCCGTCTGCCGTGTGGGCGCCACCTTGCTGCGAATGGGACGCTGAGGGCGCTGTTCTGACGGGGCTGGTGTGCCGTTCCAGTACGAGGGAGTCAGACTCCAAGCCGTCCCATGGGTGTCACCAGCGTTGGCAGCGTCATCTCAAAGGAACTGACGGGAAAACCAAAGATAAACCTCCAGGTGAGTTGGGATAGAGATATCGGAGGGGTTTTCTGCAAGTGATAGAGCTCTCGGATGGTTTTTCTGTGAGTGATAGAGCTCTCTCAGGGTCTTTTCTCGGGGTTATAGAGTTATCTGAGGGGTTTTCTCGGAGTTTGGGTGAAAGCCACACTGCGCCAACTAGCTCTGCGGACGTAGGCAGGCAGGTTCGGCCTTCATGGCTTCGGGTCCTCTGCCGGTGAGCGGCAGTGATTAGGTGCCACCCAGCTTGTTTGGGCGCCACGCATGGTCTGCGTGGTGCCACGCGCTTCGAAATGGTTTTGAAGCGTGCAAAACGTCAACACGTGGCGTCGTTTTAACCATGTCATGTCACTTTCATTACCGTGTGGTAATGATGTATCGGGCTGGAAGGGAGCTAGCCGTGGATAGTTTGAACTGGCGGTATTTTTGCTGACAACGGCTGCTTTGATGCTTTTTCGACCCTGTGTGTTTGTTCCAGCGTGATCTGCCGGCGGAGGCGCGAGTGAACAAGGCGCGAGTACCCAACGCTTATGACAAGACTGCGCTCAAATTGGAGGTCGGCGATATCATCAAGGTTACCAAAATGAATATAAATGGACAGGTGGGAAGGGGAGTTGAACGGAAAGCACGGACACTTTCCGTTCACGCACGTAGATTTCCTTCAGGATCTGCAGGACGGCGATGCCCGCTAGCGACATCTACGGCCCCGCGCAGAAGACTCGTCTCGCGTCGCGGCCGTCGTGTGTCGCCTCGGTCGTGTGTTACGCTACGGCCGGCGCTACCCTGCCGGTGGCTGCGCACAGGACCGGCGCTCTGAGGGCGGTTGTCCCGAGTCGGGCAGAGCGTCGGCTCAGGATCAGCGTCTTATCGGAGCGTGCTCTCTTTCTCTCTCCTCGGCTGGGAGTGCTCGCCGGCCGGGAACCGCTGACGTCATCCACGTGCGTCCAAGGGCCGGGCGCCGGCGCTGGCGAGTCCGCCGCGATCCGCGCGTGACGTGGCGACGGCAAGCGCGATAGACAGGGTGCTTGTACTAATCCAGCTCTTCGCCGGCTCCACGAGATAACAGTCCAGGCTGAGGGGTTCAGTGCACGGCACCGCGTTCGAAGTGGTGCCTTATCGAGTTTTTAGTGTGAGCATTTTCCCCTAGGCCAGCCATGTACTTCTTAGAGCAAAGCCACTTGTTTTGTCAATGATCTTACCCCTCTCGAAGCATGTACGTGCGTGTACATAACATGTTGTTTATTCTGTTAATGGACGTTATCGCTGCTGCGGCCAGCGCCTCGCCCGGCTGTCCCGCTTACGTGCGTGCCGCGGCCGCGGCCTCTCCCGTAACGTGTGGGTGCGTGACATATCCTGCCAGCGCGTGCTGTTGCGCGGCGCCCCTGGGTTTCGTGGCTCGGACTCTGCTGTCTGGGCTCCTCCGATCGGAGGGCGGCCCGGACCGTGTCGCGCGTTTTGTACTGAGATGAGGCCGTCGGCTGTTGAGGACGAATACTATGTTGCCACGGACGTGTGTGTGTGTGTGCATGGGCGACGCCGGCGGTGCGGCCTGTGCCGCCTCCCGCGCGCCGTCAGGCAGGAAGGCGGGCTGGTCCGCTCGCTTGGTCACGGCACCAGGAAAACGCGCCCGGCCGGGTCCGGTCGTACGACTGTGCAGCCGCCCGGAGCGTGCAGAGGCCCGGCGAGGGTCGGCTGTCGTGCCATGGCCGCGGACCACCTGCGGTGCGGGGAAGACGGACGGGTGGAGCGCGATGCTTTTCCACGTGAGTGTGGCGGAGGTGCTTTTAGAAGCAAGCTTGGAAATCTCTGGTAGCTTGCTCTCCGGTCCAGTGCTGATATATTTGCATCATAGCCATCATTCGATACCTTAGAAGTTCGTTGTATTCTTTGAATGCTTGTACATTGACTCCTACTTCAAACACCAGCGGCGTGAGCCAAGCCGCTGTCGTGTCCCACTTTAACACCCCGCGGACAACACCAGTCGAGAAATTTGTCGCGAAAATGTGCGCGCGCCTCTGCATGGGACGGCGGCGCCGCCATCTCGCCGCGGAGTCCGAATGGCCGGTGCGAAGGAGCGTGACTAGGCGACGGCTCCTTGAGATGCGCGCAGTGATTCGGAGCGCGGCACTGCGCCCTCATCGAACCCCGACAAAACCCAACGTAACCGTGTGCCAGCGCGCGCTGTCGGCCCACGCCCCCTGACCCGTCGACGCCCTGTCCCGTGGGCGGCCGGGAGACGACGGGGCGTATCACTGTGGCGGAGGCGGCTAGCCTCACTTATTGACGACTGCCTCGGGCTGGCGCTGCCCGCCTCCGGCCGGTGCGGCCTCCCCGCGCGCGCAGACGCCGACGCGCCGGCGCCGGCGCGTCGGCCTCGACTTCGGGCGCCGGTGCGGCCTGCTCGAGAGCCACCGGCTCCAGGTCCACCGGGTAGTCGTAATCATAATCGTACACCACCGGCGGCCGACGGCGGCGCGCCGGCTGCCTGCGACCACCGACTGGGCGTCGCTGCTGCTGCTGCTGCTGCTGCTGCTGCTGCTGAGGCGGCGGGGGGCGGCGGCGGCGGCGGCGGTGCGCTCGCCGCGACCGGCTGACGTCGCAGACTGCCGGCGCGGCGCCGACCGCCCGCACCGCGCTGACGCCCGGCGTCCGCTACCAGCACCTCGTTCTCGGCCGGTGCCACCTCTGGCAGGGCGCCCTCTTGCGGCCGTGGCCGGCCTGGCCGCCGCGCCGGGCTCGGTGCCCGCTCCAGCGGCTCGGCGGCCGCCGCCGTCGGCGCGCGAACGCGAGCCGGTCGCCTCCTGCCGCCAGGGCGCGCGCGGAGCGGCGCTCGTGTCTGCAGAGAGGCCGAACAGGGTCAGTAGCGGTCGGCACCGAGCTGGCAGCGGCGTGAAGTGGCAGATAAGTGCTAGTCGCACTTCGTGGCTGCGCTGCTCCTATCAGTTAATTGCAGAGCATTCGTTATTCGCCGCTCCAAGGCATTGGCTGATTTAATGGCGGCGCAACACGGCATGAGCTGCGCTCGACGAACGATCGTTGCCACACCCACCAGGCATGGACAATGCGCGGGTAGTGGTGATGGCTAATGGGTTCATCACGGTTCGTCACCACGCGAGAGCCTCACCTCGGCCTGAACGGGCGCTTCGGTCGGCAGGGGCTCATCCTCGTATTCGTAATCGTAAACCGGAATCGGCGGCTCGGCCGGGGCAGCGGCGACCGGCGCGGGTGCGACGGCCTTCTGCTTCTCGAGCGGGGCCGTATCGACCGGGTAGTCGTAGTCGTACACGGGCGGTGGCGGTGGTCGGCGCCGGTTCGGTCTGCGCCGGCCGCCGCCGCCGCCCCTCAGCCCCGGTCGCCGCCGCCGGCCGCCGCCGGCGCCCGGCCGACGACGCAGCGGGCGCCGCGTCGTGGTGGTGGTGGTTGTGGTGGTCGTGGTGGTGGTGGCCACCTCGTCCTCGTACACGTATTCCGGGAAGTCATATTCGTAATCATACTCGTCGTAGTACGCGACCGGCCGGCGCTCGAAGGGCCGCTTGCGCCTTGGCTTCTCCGTGGTGGTCGCCTTGTACAGTGGCTCGTTTCTGCAGCAGCCGCCATCGCGTGTGTAAGTCATGATGTGCGTGTGGTATCGCTCACACCAATGGATTATGAACGGGACGTTGACTCAAACCGGATTGCTGTTTGTTGCGGGAGTTAGCCGGCGTAATGAAAATTCGACCAGTGATGGCGTACTTTTGAAAACAGTGGAAACACCAGGTCGCGACGTCATCGGCACCTAAGTCCTGTCGCGATACGCGCACGAGACACGTGGTCGCCTGGTCGAATCGCTGCACCAGGCGAGGGTCACCTAGCGGTCCGCTGACCTGTAGGTGAACTTATCCGAGTTGTCACAGTCCACGGCGTTGACGAACTGGCAGATGAAGGTCGACATGTCGAAAGCCGTGTAGTTGCCGCAGAGGAAGTCCTGGCGGACGTTGTACAGGCAGTGGTGGTACACCTGGAAGGAGATGAGACAATGATTGAGAATGAGATAAGACGTGGATTGCTGAAGGTATTGCGCGATCTTCCGGGAGCACTTCGGGGATCGCGAAGAACCGGTCATCAGAAATGTGCCCACGGAATGCCTGACGCACGAAATCAGTGTAGAAAATTCGACGAGGTATTCATGTGAAGTACGGTTGTGATGCATGTTTGCGGTAGGTGAAGATGAGGCAAAGAGGAGCGTCTTGGTTGCTCGTGCGTCAGCCGTTTTATTGGGTTGGTTAAGTCATTAGAAATCGCTCGTTGTGGCAGAGCAGCTTCAACCAGTGGTGGTAATCAGCGATGTGTGTCATCAGCGCCAAATGAATACTCATCGCCAATACGGAACAGCCATGTGATGACCTTCAACGACACGATCGACATGGCCGAGTGACATCACGGAGGGGGCGCCCGCTCACACAGCTCGCCTGCGCTGCGTGCAGCCGCCTCGGCATGCGTGACCGGAGGCCGTGTGCAGCACCCTCTCTGGGGTGGTCCGGGTGCCAGCTGTCCGCGTCGGGGCCGCGCCGACGCGCCCTCGCGGCGTCCTGCTGGCGCGGCGCCAGCCAACGCGGGCTCCCAGTCCAGTCGCCCGTGACGTTCTCCTCTGCACGACGTGTTTGCATTCACGGTGAGTGCTGCCCGGTTTCACCGCGCCACCCGTCGTCTGGACGGTGCCATCCGAGCACGTCGAGAAGAAGCCGGCGCGCGGTTTCACCGCGCGGCGCGCGACACTGGCGTTCGATGCGGCCGCACGTTCCGGTCGCGTCTTGGCCAGACATGAGCAGGCCCCGATCCGGTGTGAACAGAGTCCGGACTTGGTGTGAGACGACACTGGCTTGGTGTGAGCGAGAGCGCGTCGGTGACGGTGCGGGCAAACAGCGACAGGTCCTCTGCCCCATACGCGGGGTCTGGTCCTCGGCCCCAGACGCGTGGTCTGGTCCTCGGCCCCAGACGCGGGGTCTGGTCCTCGGGCCCAGACGCGGGGTCTGGTCCTCGGCCCCAGACGCGGGGTCTGGTCCTCGGGCCCCAGACGCGGTGGTCCGGTTGCGTTTCTCAGCGACACCGAAGTCGGACTGCTTGGTCACGTCTCCTCTCGGTGCGGTTCGCCGGCGGTTGACTGCCAGCCACGGTGGAATCTTTTCGATGACGAGCGAGTGGTGCCTGCGTGCACTGGGAGCGTCCTGGAGCTGCCATGCCCGCCGGAGCTGGGGCATCGTGTTGGGTGGTGACTCACCGGCATGACCTTGCGGCTTACTTCGTACCTGCCGTTCCCATCTGCATACGGATTTTCCAGCGGTCGCTCTTCGCTGTACCCTGGCTGTGCCGGCAGAACCAGTGTGGCAGCAGAGCCTGACTAACATGGGTTGGTATGGGTTTCTCCAACAAGTCAATATCCATTGCCCCAGCAGGTTGTGGTGTCACAATTAAGTTGGTTGGGCAGAAGACGTGAAGTTTGGGAAGGGTGAAAGGGAAGTACAAGGTGCCAAGAGACGGCTTTAAAACCACCCACTAGAAATGTTCGAGGGGCTAAAAAAGGACGTAGATAGTGCAGGAAAAAGGAAGGAAAAGATCTGGGACAGATGCGGTCAAGCCTGAGAGGAAATTTGGCTTCAGTTGCGCAGCTGCGGTTTCAGCAGAGCAAGGTATTTACGGCAAAGACTCCCTTACCCAATCCATTCTCTTCCCATGGGATTGTGCCCACACCCATGTGCTACCCATTTCCTATCAGTTGTACCCACCCGTCACGTCACGTCACGTCACGAATCCAGATGCATGCATTTTTCGAACACTTTCGTTCTAAATTATGAAAAAGTCTCAGAAAGTTTGCGGAAGTTTAACCATTCACTTTATCATTGCAAAAGTAGTATAAATAAACCTAACGACTGAAACGCACAAACTGCAACATGGTGTAGTATTTCTTATAGCATCTGCTCGACGGTGCGTAACCGTCTGACCCATACTCGCACCCATCCAACCCAGCAGGTTACCCACTCCTTGCGGGTCGCTATGGGTTTGCCGGACGCGCAGGGGAAGTTGTTTAGCGCACGTGGTTTTTGTAACGGACGGGAACCCTCGCTCCAGCGTGCACCAATGAAACCGTCACACTGCCAAAAACTCCAAGTAAGCCTGTCGATGTTGTTCGCAACCTTCCCCGGGGTCGAACGGGCTTGTGAGCGGTCCGCGCCCTACACCTACCCAGGCTCGAGCATCAGCCTCACCTGACACTCGTACTCGAGCGTCAGCCACGTCTGACACTCGTACTTGAGCACCAGCTTCACCTGACACTCGTACTCGAGCATCAGCCTCACCTGACACTCGTACTCAAGCGTTAGCCTCACCTGACACTCGTACTTGAGCACCAGCCTCACCTGACACTTGTACTCGAGCACCAGCCTCCCTTGACACTTGTACTCGAGCATCAGCCTCACCTGACACTCACACTCTAGCACCAGCCTCACCTGACACTCGTACTTGAGCACCAGCCTCACCTGACACTCGTACTCAAGCGTCAGCCTCACCTGACACTCACACTCTAGCATCAGCCTCACCTGACACTCACACTCTAGCATCAGCCTCACCTGACACTTGTACTCGACGTTGGCGTAGAAGCCGTCAATGCGGTCCTTGCAGCTGAAGTCCATCTTGGGCGGCACACGGCTGAAGAACGGGTAGCCGGTCATGTTGTAGCCGCGCAGCTCGCGCGGGTAGTTTGGGTCGAACTCCCAGTCGATCTGGGGGTCGCCTGTGAAGCGCGGGTCTCGGTTCGACTTCGGCTTCGGCTTCTCCGTGGTTGTCGACGAAGGGCTCTCCTGAGCGCGGCACGCCGTCAGCAGCACTGCCGGCGGGCGCGAGGCCGGGTCAGTGTGGTCGCACTGAGAGGTGCGTGCCGCACAGCTGCACGAGGAATAGAACAAACTGGCGGCAGCGAAGATGTGCACAATGTATGGATGTATGTGGGACTGTGTTGGTCCATAGCATGCGCATCCGATGCATGATTTTTGCATCAGTGAACAGCGTGAGAAAAATAGCGAAAGAATTGCGCGAATGACCTCAGGCTAGAGGCCATGTCATGCATGGCATGTGTGTACCCTGAATACACTAGCCAGTAACCAGGCACGGTGTGGTGTTGGCTCAACTGTTAGATCTGCCGCCGGCCTTTTGAGCTGCATCAACACCGCTGATGGGTCTTTGCTGGGCGTTACAGTGCTCTGACACGGGGTTCGTGTGTCAGGCTGGCTCTTCAGGCTAGTCATCAGCTGACGTCTTGGTATCGGTCCGACTAAACCGCGTGCCACTCCAGGGACTCGTACCCATGGTGTCACTGGTCGAAAAGGCTAGGCATTTTGGCTCCACACAAAGGTGCAACTGAATAATTGGTACTGGTGTAGTATTGCGTGCGTAGTTGTATGGCTCTTTAAAAGGTGTATAGGGTGCACTGCACATCAGGCGGTCTTTATTTTAAGACCGGCTCGTCACAGGTTTTACCCTAATTTAGATTACCACCTAATAGAGCATCTAAAATGGCCATCTGCTTTGTTACCTATGATAAGTAAGTGTTGAGACCCAATCTGAGGAATGATGCCAATGGAATGAAAACCAGTTAAAACATCCATGGTGTTTGCATGAAACATCCATGGTAAAACATGCAAAGTCACACATGTTATGAAACGATACTGGCGCATTTCCGGCCTTTCATTTCCTTCCAGCGCGATTAATACAAAACTGTGGAACCCAGGCAGACTGTTTGGTGTAGACTGTAAACACCTACATGGTAAGAGGCCACGAGGGCGTCTGCAAAAAACAATTGAATCAACTCCTTTTCTCAGCTGTTGCGTCATAAACCGTGACCGAAAGGCAAGCAAAGGATTCCAGCTGAGTATGGGGCGTGTCGCCTCATCAAAGACGACCGGCCGTGGGCGCAGCTGCGGAGATGACGCATCTGATCGTGGAACTTTAACAGACGCGGCTAGTCGTGGAATCCCAGCATAAAGCAAACCATTGAACCACAACAGGGGAGAGACTAGGATTTTCTTACCGGAGGCGGCGGTGGGTGGGAGGGGTGGGGAGGGACTGAAGCCCCGTGAGAACGCCGAAGACAACCGAAGAAGATCTTAAATTCTACCTGTTTGGATACACCTGCTCAATGGCGACCTAATGACTAACGCCTTCGTCGCGTCAAGTCGCCCCCGGACAGCCTTTGCCCCACTTCCGAACCCCAGCAGATGGCTGGAGATGGCACCCCAGCAGGCACAGCCGGCTGTGATGGTACAGCTGACCGTGGCACCCCAGCAGGCAAAGCCGGCTGTGGTGGTACAGCTGAGCGTAACATCCCAGCAGACACAGCTGGCTGTGGTTGCACCCCATCAGACACAGCTGACTGTGGTGGTACAGCTGAGCGTGGCACCCCAGCAGGCACAGCCGGCTGTGATGGTACAGCTGACCGTGGCACGCCAGCAGACACAGCTGACTGTGGTGGTACAGCTGACCGTGGCACCCCAGCAGACACAGCTGACTGGCGGTACAGCTGACCGTGGCACCCTATCAGACACAGCTGACTGTGGTGGTACAGCTAACCGTGGCACCCTATCAGACACAGCTGACTGTGGTGGTACAGCTGACCGTGGCACCCCAGCAGACACAGCTGACTGTGGTGGTACAGCTGACCGTGGCACCCTAGCAGACACAGCTGATTGTGGTGGTACAGCTGACCGTGGCACCCCAGCAGACACAGCTGACTGTGGTGGTACAGCTGACTGTGGCACCCCAGCAGGCACAGCTGACTGTGGTGGTACAGCTGACCGTGGCACCCCAGCAGACACAGCTGACTGGTGGTACAGCTGACCGTGGCACCCTATCAGACACAGCTGACTGTGGTGGTACAGCTGACCGTGGCACCCCAGCAGACACAACTGACTGTGGTGGTACAGCTGACCGTGGCACGCCAGCAGACACAGCTGACTGTGGTGGTACAGCTGACCGTGGCACCCCAGCAGCCACAGCTGACTGTGGTGGTACAGCTGACCGTGGCACCCCAGCAGACACAGCTGACTGTGGTGGTACAGCTGACCTTGGCACCCCAGCAGGCACGGCTGACTGTGGTGGTACAGCTGACCGTGGCACCCCAGCAGACACAGCTGACTGTGATGGTACAGCTGACCGTGGCACCCCAGCAGACACAGCTGACTGTGATGGTACAGCTGACCGTGGCACCCCAGCAGACACAGCTGACTGGCGGTACAGCTGACCGTGGCACCCCAGCAGGCACAGCTGACTGTGGTGGTACAGCTGACCGTGGCACCCCAGCAGACGAGGGAGCGCCCGCGGCGGGCCGTCGTTGCGCCACGGCTGACCGTTCCAAGGCCTCCTGCCCGGATGCCGGTCACCGGGCAGCGGCGGGTCGGCCCTGACGAAACCGGGCGGTCACCTTTCACGTGGCCGGGCGCTGGGGCATGCGGCGCGGCCAGCCTTTTCGCAACTGCGCGGCTGGACAGGCGGCCACCCGCGCTGGCTTCCGCCGCCACTGTGCCCCCTGGCCGCTGGCTGCCACCGCCACTGCCGCCCGCTGGCCGCTGGCTGCCGCCGCCACTGCCCGCCCGCTGGCCGCAGCTGCGGTCGGCGGTTCCGTCGCGCCTTCCCAGCGCTGTGCCCGGCCGGGGTCAGACCTGTGCACACCAGAGTACGCCTGCATTTTGATCCCTGCCCACTGTTGTGGTTGGCTGGACAAGCTCAGACGGTGTGTTGTTGTGCCTGCCGCGCCGCCGTCGTCAGGCCCGTCTCTTTGGACAACGCTTGGCGTGGTATCTATCCTGCTTAAACCTGGGCTTCTAAATTAAATGGGGGAGAGGGGAGGCCTGGGTGATGTACGCGCTTCGCGAAGATGATAAGCACTTACCTGTGCCGACAATGAGCAAAGCCACCCGAGGAGCCATCTTTGCCGAACAACAGGGCCTGTAACATAAGCGGCCGTCAAATTTCAATCCAGTTCTTCCTCGCCCCCTAAAGCTCGTTTTTAGGCGTAAGATGTCACTCGTCACATCATTATCATACGATATCATTCGATGTCCGTAAGAGTTATGCAGAGATTGGCCTGTCCTTTTAAGTTGCTTTCAAAAGTGTCCGCACACTTGTTATGGGCTGTGGCGACAGTGCGGATGCATTCCCTGCAAACCGGACACAAAATACACCGGTCAAACCCAACCAGGACAAAGACAAATTACGCCCACTTTCTGCCAACTGCTGCAAATCACTCTGCACTAGAGCCTGCACGCGCGTTTCCTGCTCCGCGGCACGCGGCGGCTGTCGTGGCTTCATTGTTCGGCGCGGTCGAGCGAGTCGCCGGGTGGAGCTGTCGCCCGCGCCGTTCTCCTCGTGTCTCGGCGCGGCGCGGCCCGTCGTGACCTCGGCCGGGGCGGCGGCCGCCAGCCGGGCCGGCCGTCCGCACAGCTGGGCGGTGAAAGTGGGCTGGCGAAGTCAATGTCAGCTGATCGTCGCCGCTTGACCCAGACTCGCCCGTGCTCCGCGGCCGAACCGAAGCTGGGTCGGCCGGGGAGTGGCGTACCGTGCCCCCGAATGAGCGATGGCACCGAACACGAGACGCCCATGCCTTGTGGTTTGTGGACAGACAGCAGCGGTCTTTCACATTCGAACCACGCTTCAGTTTTTGACGCCGCATCCGGAAACTGAGCTTTAAGGTGAAACGCGGCTGTAAATGGCTCAGGTCTTGGTGGCTAGCGGTGTCCTGGAGCCGACATAGCCTACTGGCCTACATAGCCTACCAGCCTACGTTTTGCTAACGGGATTCGTACCTTCCTGTAATTGATAGCGATTGAAATTTTTAGATGATCTAGCCTCAGCCTGGGTGCTCTCAAGGATGGTCCGAAGCTTGTGGTGCTCTGGCATCGGCCCGATCTTATGATGCTGATTTGTTTGCTGTGCATCATGAGGAAGCGCGGCTAGATGTCATAAAGTAAAAGTTTTCTTTAGATAGACCCTTGACCAGCAAATAAAACGACAGGCCTTATCTACCCTCAGCGGAAACCCGTTTCAACGATTTCTTATTCAGGCAGTTCCTCCTTTGCTAAAGTGTTGATCGATCGTTGCTACTAAATTAGCTTTAATCCGTCGCTTTGTCAGAGGATACGTCAGATCAGGCTATCACGAGCACGGCGGCACAGTCTAGATCACTTTGAGATATTGATGGAGTACATTGCTACACTTGAAGCGTGCTAAGATGAATTTCAAAAAAGCCAACTGGACTTTCATCAACAGCCATGGTATGTGTGGACAGCAGTCTTTTCGGGTATACTTTTTTCCTAAATTATGTGTCTTCCCAGCAAATATGCCACCGTTGTTTACCAGCGATGTGGGATGAAGTGCTAAAATCCGGCGCAGACGGGAACCAGCGGCCTGCGGACTGCTCTGTCAGCACTTGAGCCCTCCGTCCTGCCTCTGGCCAGGCCGGCATTCGTCGAAGGCGTCTATCAGCCGGCCGCCGCGGCCGTGACGCGGGGCCCAGGTGGCGGTGACGTCCGCGAAGGTCAGCGGGGCGCTCCCCCGCCTCGGGCCCCGGCCTCAGCAGCATGGGCGCAAGGGCGGCGGGAGCCTGGGCGTAAACGCAGAGGGAGAGGGGCTGGGATGTGGCTCAAACACTTTTCTTGAAGTCCGACCTGACCCTGAATGTAAAATATGAAAGGGAGGTGTGACCCACGCAACATTCCTGACGTTCGCGCGCGCCCAGTCGAGAGCTCGCCTCTGTCGAGGCTGGCTCGGCGCGGAGCCCCGGCCACACCCCGGCCGTCACTTCCGGCGCGCCATCGGAGCGCCGCCTCCGGGCTGCGGCGGCGGTCTCTTCAGCCCACCGCCGGCGCCGGCGGCGGTCTCTTCAGCCCACCGCCGGCGCCGGCGGCGGTGCAGGCGCCCGGTGGTGCAATGGCTTCCGCAGCGCGGGGCGCGACGGGTTCGCTTAATGGCGCGAGCGGTGAGCGGCGGCACGGCCTGTTCGCTGCCCGCTCGCTCAAGGTGATGAGGTGGCAGAGAAAGGGCGATCGTATTTGCCGGCAGCGTGACGGACGGCTCGCCGAACTCATGGGGGAATAGGTTTTATATGTAAGGACGGGCTAAATGGGTAAAAATATGTATGCATTGGTGTCGTTTGAACAGCAGGGTTTGGTCTTTCAAGCCCTAGACGCTCAAAAACCCGTTACTGGCTTGGAGCGGCGACCTGGTCTTCCATGAAGTGACCGACCTCCCTCAGGCGATGAAACGTGGTGAACCATTTATCCCATAGGTTATATTATAGACGAAGTGACGGTAGATTTTATTACCTCTCAAAACCGGACAGACAACAGACGCTAGCACATAAAGGTCAACGGGAGCCAAATCTGGAAACGTGTCTCGAATGACCTTCAACGGGCTGACACATTGTACTGGCCTACTTTTTCCAGAAAGTATCACAATAGCAACTTTTTGCGGAAAAGCTTGCCTTTCAGTGATGACGGTGTTGACATGATCTTGCGTAATTAATGAAAACACTTCTCACAGGTTTATAACAGCTTGGCCTTAAAACCTTTTCAGTTGGTTCCGTCGGTTTCAGCAAATGGAATAACATGTTTTAATGACCAACATATTTACCAAAAGTGTACTATGCATTTCTCACGTATACAAGCCTTGCGGGCCTCGCTACTCAATAGCTGGGTGTCTTATGCAATGTTCGTCCTAATATTAAGTCAGAGGAGACGGATAGAGGTCATAAATTTACTTGACAGATGTCACAGCTGGAGAGGATCTGCCAATGACTACAAAGGAAATTCCAGAGGTACTTTGTTGACTGTCAAAATGCTTGCTTCTTCGGGTCATTGCAGAGCAAACTAGAGTTCGCTGTCCGTTACAGGAACTGCTATGCGCTTAGAACTGTACTTGCTGTGCTTGCATAAAACCCGTACGGACTGAACCTCAAGCTTGTCATATAAAAAGCGATCATATTAATGCAAGGCCACACATGAACCTTCTTTACAGCAAAACCAACCTTCCTTTGGAGAATGCAATGCGTTTTACAAAGTAGCGCGGGAGACTGCAAGGGAGAACAAGAGAGGATCCCAGCTTTCCCGGACACCCGACCATGAGCCGATGGGCGCATCACTTCTTGGAGCATACGACACTCCTGTACGGAACATACAACACCATTTTGTTCAGCTGCCCCGCCCTGTCTCCCGCAGCCGCGGTACCAGCAGCACTAGACTCTGCTCGGAACGGGTTTTTACTCGTGGTCCGGACTTGGAATGGGCGGGCTGGCCGGTGGTGGCCGGGCAGGGTTGGACCCGCCCTGGGGCACAACCCCGGTAATTGGGCGACCTTGCCCGACTAGGACGACTATGCAGCCTACGTTGGGCCATCAAAGCTCCCGGCGACGCAAACAACTGAGAGAATGCCGACCAGCTTGGTGATTGGTGATCACCTCGGTGGTGGGGTCAGGAACGCTGCGGATTCCGGCGGAGAACATGACTCTCCGTTTGCTAACCAGAAACAACCATAGCGGCAGAACGATAGCCGAGGGGACGCTGCGGTGCACAACTACCATATAAATAGCGAAAAGGCCCATTTCGTCATCTTCTGGTATCAGAAATGTGACGCCAGGGAAGGCAATGCAATGCTCTGGCAGGGACTGGGGACGGGCGAAACTGGTGTTCAAGTGAAGACAATACTGTTGATCTAAGGAACCAGGCGATGGAAAAAATGGATGGAATAGGATTTTGATTGACTCTAGCACGCAAAGCAAGGCCCAAGAAGAGAACCGGCCCACTAACCTTCGCTGGCCGTCTGAGCAATGGCAACCAGCTGCCGGAAACGACGAGGTCCTTCCTCCGCCGGCAAAGCCAACTGCCCGAAACACCAATGCTGTCACGCCAACGATGCATTTCAGTCAAAGAGCGATGCATGGTCGGCTGCTGGAGCCGTGACGTGATAGTGAACTGCTTTCATCGTGACTTGACAAAGCCACAGTGTTCTAAATCAGCAGCCGATCTAGATCAGCACGCTTATTTTGATAGCTGTTGTATGTGTAACCCATCTCCGGTGTTCCACAAAGCCACTGCCCGTGCTTGGCATTGAGGAAAAGTAATCACACTGCGGCTAACTTACTCACAACGGATCATCAACAAAAACGAGACCAACAGCTCATGTGTGCCGCCATGCGGCGGCCTACCAACACAGCCGCGCCAGCTGCACCCCCCGAGCCCAGAGCGCCACCCCTTGTCGGTCTGGGGCCGGCCGTACCTGGTGCTGGTATCCTGCGCTGGGCGCGGTCCGCGAGTGCCGGCGGCGCGCAGTGGGAGCACACGGGCGGCGCGCGCGTCCGGCGCGGCTGGCGGGGCGGGACTGGGCGCTGTCGGGCCCCGCCACTTTCTCCGAGCGGCGCGGCCACCTGACGGCGACCGGCAGTCAGGGACGCCGACAGCCGGGCTCCCGGCGCACAGGCGACTGTGGAGGCCGACAACAGGGCCCACCGGCCCACGCCCGTCTGTAGACGGGTCCGACAACAGCGCTCACCGGCCCACGCCCGACTGGGGACGGGTCCGACGACAATGCCCCGGTCAACATCCGACTGGGGACGGGTCCGACGACAAGGCCCCGGCCAACATCCGACTGGGCACGGGTCCGACGACAATGCCCTGGCCAACATCCGACCGGGAACTGGCCCGACAACAGGGCTCATCGGCCCACGCCCGACTGGGGACGGGTCCGACAACGGGGCCTCGCCCCACGCCCAACTGTGGACGCGTCCGAGAACAGGGCCTCGGCCCACGCCTGACTGGTGACCTGGTGACAGAGGCCCCTGTGATGCGTTTGACCAGACCGACCGACAACGACGCTCCTGGTTCACACCTGACCGGGCACGAGCTCGATACGTCTCCGGTCCTACGTCCCACCAGAGACGGGTTCACAGGGTTCCCGTTCTATGTGTCACCGGGGACGAAGCTGTAGAGGGCTTCTATTCTACATTTGACCAGTGACGAGGCTGACAGAGGTCACCATTCTACGTCCATCCAGGGACGGGGCGGGCCACGGGTGGAGTTGAAAGGGGCTCCTGTCCTTCACCTAAACACAAATCTGACAAGTATTCGCATTCGACATCTGACCATGGATGGGATGCACCAGCGTCCAATTCTTCAAATGACCTGATTTAAGGCTAACAGAGGTGCATGTTTCACGTGACACCGATGACAGCAGGGTGACAGCGAGCTTTCCCGCCGAGGAGCGGAGCGGCCAGCAACCGCGCTGCTCACCCGGCCCGGAACGGAGCCGACAGAGCTTCCTGTTCCACATGAAGGCCAGGTGGGCGCCCGAGGGCCTCGCCCCACTTCCCTACCGGCGCGACAAAGCCGAACGCTCGCGATCCAATGCAGTGGCCGGTGACTGGAGCTCTTCGCTTCGACCGGAATCGGCTGACGTTTTTCCGCGTCAATGTTGCAGTCAGGAGCTCTTGGTGTGTGCCTGACGTGAGTTTGTTATTTGTAGGATACAAGGCGTGCGTGGAAAATGTGATTCCGCTTAGGTACTCGCATCCAGTTTCTGCAGCATCTCACAGTTAACCGGGGTCTATGTCCAAAACAGTTGAGTCGAGTCAGAGTCCTGGAGTAACGAATATGAGTGCAATCCAAGTTCACACTTCGAGCAATAAACATACTCGGATCCACGGCCTGGGGTTTGGACTCGGAATGTACCGTTTGCCTTCACAGCTTGTGAGTCGGAATCCAAATATTTTGGTATTGAATCCGGATGCCTGTCCTTAGGCATCCAAGTCGTTCGGTTCATCACGGGCTCGTGCGATACAACGGGGATTCTAAATATCATTGCTAGTGTGCAAACCGCTGATACGTAATTGTAATTGGTTGTGAACCTGACTCCGTGTGACCTTACCTCGCCTTGCTCAACCGAATCTGGCCGCCACTCATCTGTCGCGAAATTAAGTGGACCCGTCGTGCCCCACGCTGCGGAAGTCATTGCACCACCGGGCGCCTGCACCGCCGCCGGCGCCGGTGGTGGGCTGAAGAGACCGCCGCCGCAGCCCGGAAGCGGCGCTCTGATGGCCCGCCGGAAGTGACGGCCGGGGAGCCGTCACGTGACGACCCTGGCAGAGGCGGGCTCCCATCCAGGGGCTCGCAGGAAGGTATTTAATGCTGTGTGCGCCAAACGTCCTTTGAAGCTTTGAAGCGCCTGCCTCCCGATCCATCCACCCGTGGCAGGGTGGGTTCGAGTCGCTTTAGGGCGCTCGCTATTTGCCCTTGACAGGTATCACCTGCGGCCGGTGGCAGTGGTCGCATTAACGGTCAGTTGACGTCAGAGGGCAGGACGGACCGTGCCGAGCGATGTGGCACGTTAAGCTTTCGCCACTAAATTCTGCCGTTGCCTGGAATTTCGCAATCGGATGGTGGGGGTCAGGGCTCACACAACAAGCACAGCTTAGCATGAGTGCTGATCCCAAAAATCCATCCATTCAAAGGGTTCAAATCAAGTTTATAAAAGCTGCTGAATCATGATCTAAATCGACATTGTTGTGCGATCTACGCTTGTTCTGCTTGTCAGTCACCTTATTCGAACCCAGCCATACCTATTAAACGCGACACAATCGAACGATGCAATATTTTCATAATTTGTTTTTAATCAAATAGCTCCTTTCTGAAGATGTCGTTTGTAGTTTCACAAAAGAATCGAGAAGAGGTCTTGATATCACGAAAGGAAAATTGCTGGGGTCTGAGTCAGGGTCTTGTAATTGCGAGTCCAGTCTTCCAACTAAACCAACAGGGAAGGAAAAGCACGGAAATGTTCGGACTATTGTCTTCATCTGGTATTTTGTTATGTTCACAGCGTTTCACCAAGGTAACTCAACTCTCGGCCATCGTCAGGTTTAGCCAGTGCTGAGAAGGGCTGATCAGGTATGGCATTAGCCATAAGCATGTCACAGTCCGAAGCTCTCTTTGGAAATGTGGGAATCAACCAGGGCCTCTGGTTTGTGGTTTAGTCCTCCACCAACTGAACTACACCATAAGGACCTCAGATTTGGCTGGAAACTAGGCGTGCCCAGCCCATTCTCAGTACTCCATGACGCCTGACGACCGGGGAGTTACCTGCCCGAGACGCCTGGACATATCTAACACCAG